TTTTTTTTTTTTTTTTTTTTTTTTTTTTTTTTTTTTTTTTTTTTTTTTTTTTTTTTTTTTTTTTTTTTTTATAGAACAAGGATTCATCATTTCAGAAACTCAAACAAAAAACTTAATACAATATTGGTGATTGTTGGTGGAAATTCTAATAGCCAACTCAATTTGCTAATCTTCATCTTCACTTTCATCACTATATGAAACTAGTCCTATTGTTGTAGCAGCTTCAAGCGGCCTATCATTACTGGTATCGTGTGTTCTTACTGATTCTGAACTCTCCTCTGCCTTGGCATTAGGGATTTCAGCTCTGCAAACAGCTTTTTCTGGGCTTCTCGGTTCGATCCTCGCTTTCTTTGCCTGTGGCTTTACTCTAATAATCATACTCGGGGGTCGAGTGACCGGAGTTTCTTTCCTAACTGGTGCCTTTTCCTGCACACAATTGAGGGTGACATTAGGTGGTAATTGATATAAAGAACCTTCATTACACCTGCACGATCACGTCTTGTCTACAATCTTGTATAAATACAGTAGATAGCAGTCACGTCTACAAGCTAGCCACCAACATTTAGCACACTTAACATTTCATTAAAACATCTAACAATCTAAGAATTTGTAATATCCACGAGTTTTAGCTGATATTTAGAATTTACGAATATGGTTCTTGCTATTGGAGGAAGTCTAAATCAGATAGTAGAATTATTGTTTGACCGTTCATGATGTGGCTACTCAAACCAAAAGTTACTGGATGCACGTAGAATTTGAACTAAACCAACCTGAGCTGCTGGAGCAGGGGGGGTTATTTCCCTCACTTCATTCAACAAAATAGATTGTGCTGCTACTGCTGCCTGAAAGAGCATCAACAAACAGTACTTGAGAAGAAATTTAGAGTGGTCACTCCAGTACTTGTACATTGTCGACAAGATGTAGTATCGCTAAGCAGAAAGCAAGGGGCAACCATAAACAGAATCACAAGCATGATAGTTGATTAAAAACTCATGGCGTACTTTTCTGCAGCCTTCATCAGTTATTAAAAATTGTTGGGCAAAGACAGATCTATCATGAACAATAATCAAGTATAAAGGGCCATTGGAAATCTCCATACCCTAAATTTGGAGGCTAAGTGCAATGTTTTTCACTACGACTGTATCTAATCTATAACAATGGAAACACGGGCACTTGAATTCAAGAATTTATTCATTTAATACGAATCATCTTCATGACCCAAAACACACTGAAGAACTACCATCATTTTTTTTTTCAGTACTTATTAATCTTAGAGATAAACCACTGCTAAAGATAACTAATAGATCCAGATGCCACAAGAATGGTCTCTACTGCCGGTAATATATTTATACTCTTAAGAGAAAAATAATGATTCAGCTGTTGGCCACTATAATACAACTTTTTAGCATATCATTACGATAATAAGACTTTCTTTAAAACCTGAAGTGAAATAATCATCTAACGCTTAAGCATAATGCACAAAAGAAAGTGACGGCTTCAGTAAGTAAACAATATAGAAAAAACAGCACACAAAGTATAAAAGATAGAGAATTAACTGTTACAAACAAAGAAGATTCAAGTAGTATGGGCCTCTCAACAACGAAGGGGGAAAAGTCGAACAAAGACTTCAAATTAAAATTCATCACACTAAACACTGTACAGGTCCACATCCCACATTCCTTGTCATTAGACTTCTGGACGTATAATCTTTGGCTTCAGTCTCATTTCCATGTTTCTCCATATACATTGGTGTGGAAAGAGTGTTTCGGATGAAAAGAACGAACCGAAAGGGATAATCCAACTTTATTTTGAAGCTGATGTTTTTCTAGCTCTATTTTACTGTTCTTTTTTAGTTTTAACCCTACTTTTGAAAATTTGTAGCGCTAAAGTAGAGATGAGCACTTAGGGTGCCTCACTTCCACATGTGCACAAAGCACACATTGGAGCAAAATTTTCAGGCTATTTCGAATAGTGTATTAATCAAGGACTACAGACTAACATTATTATTAAGGAAATAATGTAGCATCGTATGCTCAGAATTGGAAGCCTTTCTCTAATGTAGCATAGCATGCTCAATAATCCCATACTAACTACCATATGAAATTACAGTTGATTAGCATACGATTCTTGAAAGTGATATCATAGTTTTGACACTAGCATACAATTTATCAATAAATTGAAAAGGAAATACAAGTAACACAGAAAGTTTGCTTGATTTGGACATAAGGATAATTACTTGAAAACTGCGAAGCTCTTGTTCATCTGCATCAGCCATTTGCCTTTCATATTCTCTCTTTGACTGCATTTCAATTGACAATAAAATTTAAAAGAAAAGAGAAGAAAGAACAAATTTACAATCATGAGTTGAAATACTAAATATGATTTGGTTACTTGATATTTAACTAATTAACAAATTTTAAGCGGTGCTAATGGCTAACGAGTGTAAAACAAATAGACTCACTGTTTCATATTTATCCAGAAATTCTGTCTCATCCTCGTCCAGAGCCTTTGGTGGTCCTGCAGTAAAAGAGCTGAATAAGCATGAATTTTAATCCTTGCATGCTGGCATGGATGTGATCCTATATCTTCAATTATCTCCGCTATCTGGCATCCTTGATTGGACTGATAGTAAAGATTAGTACATGAGTTATTAAAATTGATATTACACTTCAGCACTCACTGTGCTTGAACCGTTCATTAAATTCAGCATCACGCTTGTCTTTATTTTCCTTTAAGATCTGTGAACAGAAAAGAGAAATGTAGTTAACAACAAAAATGTTTAAATCTATGCACTCAAATGCTCATAAACAGAGTACATGCATGTAAACTTTAGTACTTTCATTGAGAAGAATGAAAGATTACAAAAACAGGCCTTACAAAGATTTAAGCCACCAAAGACAACTGAAGTATTAATATTAACAAGACTAAATTATAGAACATACCCACGTTATTTCAATCATACCCTTGAGCTTTAAAAAAAAATTCAAGAGTACCATTACTGTAAGTATATGAAAGAAATAATTATTACCTTACTTCAATAATACCTTTGAACTTTTAAAAGTTGTAACAATACATTGACCTATAAAAAAAAAATACCCTTATATTTCGTGTATGGACAAAAACCATTTACCTACTCCCATCACCTCCCTGTTTCATTTTCTTTCTCTACTCTACCTTAATCTATGACCTCACAGAAATCATTTACCTACATCCACAATCTAACATTTACCATCTGTTCTTCAATGCCCTCTTTTAAACATACTGAAACAGATGTTGACTCGAGTTGAATCTAGTTTGGTTTGCAATTTTTGGTTGGTACAAGAAAAACCAGTCATATTCAATCGACTTTGGTTTTTTGCATGGCTTGACCAGATTACATGAACTAATTGATAGTTTTTGGATTAATATTAAAAATGTTTATCCAAATGTGTTGTCCCCCGTTTAGCTTTGAAATCCCCTTAGTATAATTTTATGTGTGAGTTCAAGCTAATTATGCCTTATTTTCCCTTCCACTGGTTGTCCTCAAAATTATGTCATAGATTAAAGGGAGATGATGGGGTGTGCATAAATGATTTCTGTCCACATACTGTAAGACATTTTTTGAAACATTAAGGACATTAATGCAACTTTTGACAGTTCAAGAATATTATTGAAAGAAGATACAAATGGTTTCTATCCATTGTAAGAGTACTTCTTTTATAACTTTTGTTGATTTTTAAGAACATCAATGCAATGTTTTAAAGTTCAAAAGGATGTAATTGAAACAATGTACAAAGTAAAAAGTTCAAAAATTTTTTTTTAATATAATTTAGTCTATTAGAAATATAGTTTTAAATAAGTCAAGAAAACATTGTTGTCGAACATCTTAAATTCACTTAAACGTTTACATCATAGAAGAGAATGCGATCACTAACTAGTAAAATATAGCCTTCACAAATAATGAAGACACAAGACTCAATGTCAATCTCTATAAACTAAGAAAGACTCCCCATCCAATCTTGTAACTGGACTTCTCTTAGTTTAGTCAAACAACTAAACCATCAGTGATCCATAATTCTATCTCAACAACATGATGTTACTTCTCTTAATTACTCCTGGTTTGGGTAAGTAACAATGGAATGAAAAAACAATCCCATTGTCAGAGCCAAGAGGGGAACTCCAAGCCTCTAAACCCAAAAACCTAAGTTTCATTTGGAATCGCAGCTGTAAATGACAAGGGTCTCTTAAGCCAATGGTTCACAAATGTTTGGAATGACAGCCTATGACATGTTGTGGTTATGATTTGTGATTACTTTTTCTACAAGATCTATCACTACTTGCTAGCTGCAGTAGTACAACTCATAACCTGAGTTTACACTGACCTAAATGTTCATTGCCTCATCTAAGAAAACAAATATTTCCTTTCCATTCTACTACAAGAATTAAAATTGGGGTGTAAAAGTGAATAAACGTTGAAGAACCTCGTAGAGGGGTCTGTCTCTTTGAGCAGTGCCATCCTCAACTCGTTCGCCCCTTGTTTTCTTGGCTTCGTCCAGCTGCAAAAAATGAATAAGTTCGCATTAATTTGATGAAAAAATCCAAAATCTTCTGTGAATTAATCAAAGGAAAGGAGGGGAAGAAGAAGAACCTGTTCCTCAGAGACGAAACTCATAAGCCGGATTGCTCGCGCAGATTCGTCCTCCATTTCGCTTGCCGTCAAGTTCGAACACAGGAAATTTTCACCGAAAAGAAACGGCCTAGAAGGGGTTATAGTTTACAAAGTCACTTCCCTGCAAGTTTTTGTCACTCTCTCTCGAATTCCTCCCTCCTTGCAATGCTTCTGATGAAGAACCGAACCGAACTCAGTTCCTCTGTTGGAAATTTTCACGCGATTCTAACCATTCAATTACTCGAAACATGAAAACATATTTTTAATTCATCTCGACTGTTTTTATTTCATTGCAGCGCAGCCCAGTGGCCCAGCCCAACGCCTAAGAATTAAAGGCAAATCCCATATCTTTCTGTTCAGTGCAGCCTACTGGCCCAGCCCAACGCCGAAGATGCAGTCAAATGACTTTTTCTTTTTCCTTTAAAATAAAATAAAAATGGTACCGTGCAGAGTAACCGTGCTGACACGATTCACTAAGATTCAGTCTTTTGTCATTCCGATTCATCTCTTCACCAAAAAAATTAAATTAAATTAAATTAAATTATTTTTTTCAAAGTATCAGGGAGTTCAGAGGCTAGCTAAGTAAATTAGTGAATATAAGTTTAGGTGCTAATGAGAATGATGCATGAGTGGGAGCATGATTTGGGTGCTCGTGGGCAGCATCATGTTCTTCCAATGATCGTCCCTAAGTGCTTTGAATTCAAGAATTAGTGGAAAGCAAGATGTTGCCATTTAGATATGATGAAGAGGTATAACTTTTATTTAAATGTATTTGTGGAGGAGTGGCTGCTTTTTGGTTCACTCCTTCACTCCTTTCGTGAGACCACCATTAACAGATATCATCTACTTTAACTATAACTATTTAACGATTTTAAAATACATCTATTAGAGAGAGATTTTCACATATTTCGTTGAGAAAAAAAAAATTATTTAAAAATATTGAGTGGATTGTAAATGGCTTGAAATGGGAATATACATTGAAAATTTCTCTAAAAAGACGGCTTACCTAAAAAATTAAAGGCATTTCAAACAGAAGTAATCTTTTTTTCATTTTACTACTTCCAATAGAATGGAGAAGACAAGATGTTATGGACTATTTGAACTCTATCAGCCACAATAACAACACGAAATTTAAACTCCGCACGCAATTTGGAATCCCACAATGTATTACATAACAATTGCTATCCTACCATCTCAGGCTTCTGCAAATATTCTTTATAAGGATACTAAAAGCCATAGTGGCGGTCATTATCAAGAGTGAATCAGCACGAACTACAAATCTCAGACTGCCTCTATTTCATACCATTTTTACTGTACACTAGACAACTTTGTTGTATTCTGCCACCTGTTTTTATGTTGTTCTTGAAAGAATTTCACCAATAAGTTGATTAACAGGGCTCCCATTATCCTGCAATTCGTTTGGAAACATGAAACTTTGTTAATAATAGCGTTTTTAGAAAAAAAGTTGAACAGGCTATTCATTATCTAATATTTCCTCCTCACCTTTATTCCAATTGCAATTGCTGTTTTAAGGTTAACGAGTTCACCTAACCTTAAAGAACCCTCTTTATCTTTCACGAGTATCAATGGTACCTTCCTAGATATGGCCAAGCTTGGCACATGGTTTGTCAGCCATCGAGGGTTGCAATCAGCAGTTAAAAGTATAGCCTACATAATAAAAGGCGAAACGCCGAATAATTAGACACCGTATATAGAAAAGACAGTAGGCAAAGCTTGATGAGTTGAGTTTAAAAACATGAGTTTATATATCAAGCAGATGCATGTCCTAGGGAATTCAAAATGACATTCATTTCTGAACTAGGAAGTATAGAATCCATAACAAAAATAGAGATAAATTTGCCATAAAATATCAACTCCCTGTACAAAACCACTTTCAAAACTCGTAGACCAATTACGTGGTGCACTGCAATCCTCTTCGCTAAACGAGACATTAAAAGTCACTAACATCAAATTTGCAGTAAACCAAGAGATAATGAAAAATAGCCTTCAAGACTGCAAATAAGGTAAGTTGTGCGTGTGGCTTTTGGCTCGATCAAAGCTCCAAGTACTTTGATGTGCCTGATGGTACATGTATTATGACCATACATATGAGGTAAATCCCTTATTGTCTACTTAGACGACAAACTGCTCTAAATTCCACCGAGCTTTACTTTAATATCTCTAAGTAAATGCTTCTTACAAAACTGTTGTTCTTAGGATTCGTAATGGGAACCAATTTTGTATGAGTGGACCCATACTAGCTATCCTGGGACTATAGAAATAGTCCTCCAAACACTGAAGGAAAGCAGATAGTTGCAGCCATCTTGGCCTGGCCAAAATGCGGCCTCCTCTTTGAAGTCCAGATGGATGCTTCTGCTAAAGGTATGGGAGCAGTCCTATCTAAAAATGGCAAGTCTATGAAATATTTTAGTGAGAAACTAAGCTTACCACGGAGGAAAAGTCCACTTACCAATAGGAGTTCAAAGTCTCGTTTCAATTCTTGCTACATAAGGAATACTACGTAGTCCCCACAAATTTACTTCATACTTGCACCAAACATTGAGATGGAATGCTTCACAAACAACATTCTGTAGGATGCATGGACAAGTGATCATTCTTGTAGAAGTTTTGGACTGTGGCCAAGCACATTTCAATGGCTATACCAATCAAGTGGCGTACTCCCAAGAAGAAGGCATGTAACCATGTTAACTACACTAATGGATTTGTTGATATCATTTGGCACCAATGAAAATTTGTATCAAGACTATGAGGGCTTTAGGAAGTTTTAGGATAATTGCCTTCAACATGAGAATCAACAAGAACTTTCCACAGTGGAACTTTTTCTCTCAAAAGAAATTACTGTCCTCAAGTACACTCGAATGGATGAATTGGACACTTTGGACAAGATAATTACATTTCTTAAGGCCACAACCTAGGCTGGAAGTTACTAACTCTATGAGATATCTAGTTCTCAAGTGGCAGGCATGAACTGTATACACCATTGCCTAATCCAAAAAGACTTATGGGAGTGTTCATCCATGGACTTCATCTTCGCTTCTTGGTTCTACCAGTTTAACATCTTTTAACCTCCAAAACATTTTTCTAAACATACATGGTTTTTCACTGCACGACTAGCCTCCTAAGAAGTTCATGTCTACGGCATTTGAGATCTTCTGTTGTGCGATTATCATTGCCTATTAAGTAAACAGGACATTTGGTGCAAGAGGGTCTTTAACCTAGTATTTACAGTATCTAGGTCAGCTAATTCATTGATTAAACAAAAAATTAAAAGAATGAACAAAGGGCATACAAAAGAACAACCAATAAATGGAGTCCATCAAACAACAAAAAAAGAACCCCAATTTTAAAGGATAAAACCTAACGATAATTACAGAAATTTTGCTTATCACAACTAGAGCTCATGGAAACAGCAAATGTGGCTCATGTTTTAAATTGATTCTCTTCCCATGAAAGACGTGTGCTCGCGCTCACACACATGAAATGGTTACCTTGACCTTCTCTTTAACCTAGTATTTGAAGTATCGAGGTCACTTATTTTTAATTTTTCTATAAGAAACCCAGCTTTCATTAATAGGGGAAAAGATTGAAAGAACTTACAAGAACATACAAAAAACAGTAAAATTAACAGAGCCCATCAAACTATAGACATGGACCCCAATTTAAAAGGATGAAATCTAACGGATAGCTACATAAATCCGCTTATCATAACTAGAGCTCATGGAAGCGCCAAATGCAGGCCAAGTTTTAAATTGGTTGTCACGCATGAAATTGACACAAAACTGAAACAAAACCAAGAAAGTAACACTTATGACTTCGAGCTAATTAAAGGGTCCATCAATCCACCAAAAATAATAAAGTGAAGAGCAACAACACTACCGTAGAAGGGAAAAGCTGGGATTCTATTAATAAGCATCCGGCAAATTCCTGAACCCTAGATAAGAGTATTCAAACCTGAAGCCTGACTGTACACGCCTTATAATTAGGGTTCATACGAGCAGAATCTTCACTTGGCGTCATCCGTTCAAGGACTCTAGTAACCTCATTAACTCCAATTGCAAATTGTTTCTAAAAAGAAGCCCATCACTCAACATCAGCGGCTTATAAAAGGAGTCATGAATTCAATTTTTGTTTCTCTAACTAATAACAAACATCGATACCGATATGGCACGGCAAGGAGAAACTAAAGACGTTAAAAATACGGAGAAACATCATTGAAACAGAAAAATTAGTGGAAACCTTGAGCCAAATTTTTTCCGGCAAGGAATCCGCATTCAGAAATCTTGCTCTCTTTATCTCCCTGTTAAGTACAATGATCAGCTATTGGTGGCTTGAAGCGCATTATTAGACAAATTAACTATTGTCTACCTCTGAATCGACTGCAGCAACTCATCGAGACGTTCCCCTTCGTAGGAACTGGGACAGTCAAATTCCGAAAACAAAATCCATCGTAAATTAACAAAAACATTAAGATAAGAGATGGAATGGAGAAGAGCGGGAAAAGGTCCGAAAAGCATGAAAGTGAGAAAGAAAAGCAGGCTTACTCTTCGTTACGCTTAGATTGAACGACTGCAACAGGACCAGAAGATTTAGCCTTCTTTCCCATGGCTGAAAACTTGCTCGAAAGTGTAGCTTTCGAGTCTGGAGAGAAATAGGAGCGACGTTCTTCGATTGGACTAACGCCGTACTGGAACTGGACGAACTACTGCTTCCTCCACGGCCCACTCAAGGCTTATTTGCAATTTGGGTGAAGTAATCATCCGTATAATAAATAAACAAAAGTAAAATTAATAAATTCTTTCTAAAATACTTAATTAAATAATAATAATAATAATAATAAATATATATATATAGTTTCAAGAATGTAAAAATGGTTCAATAATACTTTTAAAATTTTAAAAAGTTTAAAAAATAATTAATTTTAGATAAAAAAAATTGTAGTAATTTATTTTAAAACTCTAACCATTTAATTATATTTCAAAAATATTCATAAAATTAAAAAAAATATTATTACCCTTCTATCATATTTAAAAAAATACTTCTAAAATTATTTTTAAATAAAATTGTAAATATTTTATATGTAATTCATTTGGAAAATTAATTATAAATTTCATATTTTAAAATTAAATATAATTGATTTATTTCACTTGTTGCAACCCTTATATAAACTATTTGAAAATGATTTATAGATGAAAATAATTATTTATAAAAAACAATTAAAAAAAAAAAAAAAAGAATGGCAGACTCACGGTTAAAAAATGGTCAGCATATTGAGTACAAAAAGTTTTGTACCTTCTTTATCTCTTATTAAGGTGCCATAACTACCCGACAGCTATTCGAGCCTCGTTTTCATGGAATTCGAATGTAATCATAAAAGACTAAATTTTCAGGAATTTTAGACTAAGCTTTTGATAAACTTTGATTTTGGTTAGCTCGACACTGACTATTCGATATATTTCTGACTAGAAAGATTCTTAATCTAATGAGTGAGACCAAATAATTCAATATGAGTAGTTGTTGAACTCGATTCAAATTCAGTGGATCAACTATCTTTGCAAAAAAATGGTTCACATCTAATCAAATGTATGAATGAACTGAATTAAACCTAATCAACCCGACTTTAACTTTGAACTGAGTTTGAATCAAATTCTTGTCGAACTTGATCTGACCTTTAGGTTATAGATCCATTAATGAGGCTGAAACTAACATGACCCGAGTGGCAAGATAAAGAACAAAAGATAGATAGAGTGATTAAGCTTCCTACAATACAATAAGTAATTGATTGAAGTCAAAGGGTTTTATTTAATCTATACTACGCATTAGAAGATGTGGATGCAAGGTGCCGTTGAAGATACACACAGCCGAAATAGAGGAACTGGCAACAATAAAGTCTTCTCAACACTAAATTTCAATTATAGCAAATTCCACAACTTTCTCAAATGGGTACTCATCCATTAACTTATGTTTAAACAACAAATTTTAATATAATTCAATCTGGTAGGATTAACTTTACCATCTCGAACATAGGATTTACAACCCAATCTTACTTTTAAAAGCATATTTGATAGTTGAACTTCATAAAAGTTTTGTTATTAATGTAACGTGTACAGTAGATGGACATAATTTTTTTTAAAATAAACTCGATCGAATCAATCCTTGGGTTGGGTTGTGAACTATATTTTGGTTGTTCAAAGTGTTCAATCACGATAACCCAAAATTTTTAGTTCGTCTAGAACATTGTTTCAACCCAACCTAATGTAACCCGTGCACACTCCTAATAGGACCCCATACGACCTGTGGGGAATTTTGTTGTTGGAAGTTAGTGGGTGTCCTTTCATTTGTGGCCTGCAGCCCGCCTTGTCCAGATTGATGGCTTATGACCCAACCCCCCACTTAGAAATTAAAGAATTAAAACTTTAAACCAATCACCAATGGGTCAACCCCGAATGCCCAGATCAGGAAAATACTTCATAAACATTTTACATATTATTTAATTATAGGCAATGCTTTTTAATTCAAAATTTTGACCGTTGACTTTGTAAAACTCCAACCAGCTGTGCCTGTGTGCCCAATCATTCATCATAATTTATACCCCATCACATGTTTCTCACCATTATGTTACGTTATCCCATATTATATATATATATATAATGTAACAAGTGCTATACCAAGCTACAAAAATGGCATCCACCTTCTTATTCCTCTCCTTCATCTTCCTCCTCGGGACTGGCCTTCCGTCCACGATTGAGGCTCACGGTCACCGTCGTTGGAGGGAGAGATCCCGAGTAGCTTCGCTAATTAGTGAAGAACTTTTTAAGGAGCTATTTTTGCATAAAGACGATAGTGCATGTCCCGCAAATGGGTTCTATAGTTACCAATCCTTCATTGAAGCGACGAAGAAGTTTCCCAAATTTGGTACTACAGGTTGTTTGGCCACACGGAAGAGGGAGATAGCGGCGTTCCTGGCTCAGATCTCACACGAGACGACGGGCGGGTGGGCAACTGCTCCGGATGGACCTTTTGCTTGGGGGCTTTGCTTTAAAGAGGAAATCAGTCCACAAAGTAACTATTGTGATGATAGTGTTGAGCAGTGGCCTTGCTCTCCCGGCAAGTCATACAAAGGAAGAGGACCTATACAACTATCATGGTAAGAACAGACCATTACAAATTTATACATTAAACTTTCAAATCTATGTCTATTTAGAACTTTGAAGATTTTAAAAATGGAACAACGAGCAGGAATTACAACTACGGGCCAGCAGGCGAGGCACTGGGATTCGACGGGCTGAGAAACCCGGAGAGAGTTGCAGAGGACCCGACAACGGCGTTCAAGACAGCGCTGTGGTTCTGGATGACGGAGCAGAAGCCGAAGCCATCGTGTCACGACGTCATGGTCGGCCGATACATTCCCACAAAGGCTGACAGAGAGGCAAACAGAACTGCAGGATATGGACTAGTGACCAACATCATCAATGGCGGTCTTGAGTGTGGGATTGCCAACGATGCCCGAGTCAACGACCGAATTGGCTTCTTCCAAAGATATGCTAAGCTCTTCAATGTTGATACTGGGCCCAACTTGGATTGCCAGAATCAGAAACCCTTTTAGATTCATCATCGTTCCTCCTTTTCACTTGTTTGTTTATCAATCGCCTTCTATTTTAAAAAAATTTCAGATTTGATCCGAAACCATGGACTGGTTTGGAACAAGTAACTGTTCATGATTCCACAGATTATGCAATAATCCAAGCTGTACTTTGATTTTAAATTACTGGGGAACGTTGAAAGTCAAGCAATAAGAACAGTTTTAGAGAACTCAACGAATTACAACTATTTTGCTGCCGCCAATAAAACAAGACAAAATCTAGCTAAAACCATACCTGCAGCACAGCAACATCGCCATCCCTTGTGAAGAGCCTATCAGTTTGCACATGTCTAATGGTAGAAAGCAAAAAGAAAAAACAGCTATTTATACACATTTTTAGACAAGAAACTAGCTACCTCAGTTGCAGCTTCATAGGCACCCTCCACACATCGCCCCAAGGCCACACCAGATACATAGTTTCCACCTAAAAACAAGCCTTCCATTCCAGCTTCTCTCAGTCCGGCCTTGGCGGCATCCAAAACATCAAGATGACCAATCAAGAACTGTGGAATGGCTTGAGGCCACACCCTCACACTCAATAACATGGGATCCTCTGCATTTGTGTTTATGAGGATTTTTCTCAAATCCCGATCGACTACTTCTACGAGTTCGCTCTCTGTCTGTCATCACATAAACACTTGAGAGTTACAAGATAAGAACGATAAGAGTAATGCTACGAAGGGTATTCGACCACATATGAGCAGCAACCAATAATAAATCCATCAGAAATTAAGTTAAAGGACAAACACAATAGCAAGACAAATTTTGAGGGTAGGGCGTTTTTCATCAGAATATCTGAATAGTTTGGTGATATTACTATGCATGTGATTCTTGAAAACGAAGAAAAATATAGCTGTGTTACAGGGGAAATACACTGAAGACATGGGCAGGGATCATGGAAGGATTTTCAACCCTTTTTCCAGCCAAGGACAACATTTTCTCTTCCTCTGGAAGAGGTTACAAAAGTAATTGGGTTTAAGCATTACATTAGTAATGGGTCAAGGAACAAATACCATATGATCAAGGAAAAAACTCTAATTTTAGACGAAAAGTGAGCTATTGTTGAGACAATCAAGGTTGAGAGAGGAATGATCATGATCGAGCCTTCTAATTCCAAAAGATGCGAGAAAAATTTCACAAAATTGAAGTTTGCTCCAGCCTTTTGGATCAAGTACACGATTATTGCAAGATTGGACAGAATTGTTTGATTCCTGCAAAATGTGCGCATAACTAACCTGGGAATTAATTACTAAATAGTATAGCACTCATTTTCCTACAATTTCTAGAAATGATTGGATGGTTCATATAATTCACCACCTTTGTCCCCAAGGTGATATTTGGGCCAGTGGATGACGTAAGATATCGTGATTGATTGATTCGACTTATGGTAAGAAAATTATTTTGTTGGGATGATAAGTGAGCTTGTTGGGGGTGGGGTGAGTTACAAATAGAGGGTTAGGAAAATGGAGAATGTGACAAATATTTGGTGAAAGCAGAAGAGAGATAAGCCTCTTGATAGATTATCATCCTTTTGTGTTTCGTTTTCCTAACAAAACTTCAAACATGATTAAAAAAAAATCACCTTGGAAAGAATTTCAGTATTAGTAGCTCCTCCAATGTAGTTCAAAAGTAATACCCTTCCATCTGGTGCTCGATTGGGAAAAAGTGATGAACTGTATATAGTTCCTGCAACAAAGTAAGCATGGATTTGGATGCATCTCAATTATCCAACAGTCACGGCTGTAAGAATTAATTTCAACAGAATTTGTGAACATAATTCCAGATGAAATGTAAAGAATGCAGATTTACCCAAAGTTGTCACCCCCTGGCTGCGAGGGTGCAATTGACCAAACCCCTTTAGTTCACCATCTATCAAGCATTCTTTCCTAATTGCTCCTTTTGGATATGATATGGTCACTGATGCAACTGGTGGATAGTAAAATTCTGAAAGTACATCTGCAGCTTTCACCTGTAGGCAAGGGAATCATAAGAATCATCAAAGTGAAACAAACTTGGAAATATAGAACCAGCCAAGTAACGAATTCTGGACTTCCTTTGCATCAGTTGCACAACTTTACAGAATTTCAGAGATACATGCATTCTGCAATAGTGAGTACATTGAGTTTCAAGCTTTCTTCATAATGTATTTATTGTAGCTCTGCTGATTAAAATTATATGCTACTTTCAGTAGTTGTAGTTTATGTGATCTTTACACCAACTAGAAGAATTATTTGTAACATTTCTTAGTTTGTTTTGGATCTTGGGCTTTCCCACCCTTTTCTGTAATTTGTTCCATCTGTGGAATGGTTTCTTTTATTAAGAAAACAAAAGAAAATCTACCTAACAACCTCCAAAAACGCCCGCTCAAATCTTCCAGAGCCTCTAAAAGGTCTAACATGAACATCTATTTTGCAATCTGATAAATGTTTAAGTGTGTTTCCACAATGTCAATTCCAGCATATACTCAACTCCACTGGGGATGTAGCAAAATCACATAACAAAATATAAGTTACTAATTTCTACAAGGCCATTGTGGGTTGACAAACGGGTGATCTGGTAGCAAAAAGGGTCTGGCTACAACTATTAACACTGAAGAAAGCAATGGAAAAGCTGGAACTATATATGGAAACAAATATCATAAAAGACCTTGGCAAAAAACCATATTCAAATCCCATAAATTAATTTACCGAGATTGGACGCAACAGTGTGCTGGCAACGTAAGAAGGGACTGTCATGATGACACTTCTGCTTAGTATAGAGACTAGCCCTTCTGGTGTTTCATATGTCAAACTGTAACCTCCATCATCCACTTTACTGATATTAGATAGCTTCCAAGATAACTTTACCTTATTGCCCAAGCTACATCAATGGAAAAGGTTGAAGAAATGATAAGTTCAGAGACTGATAGACAAACACTTACTAGAAATTTTGTTTTAAAATTAGAATTTACCATGTAGAAATAGCATTTGGCAACATGGCAAGTCCTTTCCTAAAAGATCCAACAGTTTGGCCCTTCGGCTTTGGCAGGCGTCTAGATGTAAGAACTTGGTTATTAAACATGAAGTGGTGAGGTGGAAAAAGAAAGAAAAAGCGAGAAACTCTATGAAGTTAAAATCATTACGGATCTCTTGGTGGCTTGGTAGCTTTATTCCTTTCTTGAAATGCTTTGAAAGTCCCACCAATAATGCTACCACCATTTTGTTCTAGCTTCCAAACCTTACCAAAAGCTGCTTTCATGCTAAGCTTTGAAGGGTCACCAGCATATACGCCTGAACAAGACAGCTTCAGATCAATTATGGACTCGATGAGGACAACCCACCAAAGAAGTATAACCTTGAAACTAAATTGTTACAACTTTCCTGAAAAAATAAAAAACATCTTCAGCCCTTCCAATCAACCGTTGCAGGAATAGTTACGAGTTTCTTCCTACCATTTTTAAAATAATCATAATTTCTACAAAAGTCCACCTTTTATAAGAGACTATTTTCAACCAATGTCTTTAATTAGTAGATCTTATCTTCCTGGAAAATAGCGTTCTTATAGAATGAGCGAAGGATTCAACAGAGGATCAACAAGGATTCAACAGAGGATCAACAAGGATTCAACAGAGGATCAACAATGCACACAACAACACTGGAGTGAGCACAAATTTACAATAATTAGTAAAATTGATTCCTAATTTATAAGTAAGAAAATAATTTGATAACCAAAATAATGGAGAATCTTAACCAGAAATAATGAATTAGATACCGAGATAATAGGAATTATAGTGATAAAGAAAATATGCAAGATAAAATGGATATATAGATCTAATTGAGTATGGTTAATCACCAGAACAAAATGGCTCTATCAAGCGTTCAAAAACTTCATCACCAAGGTTCCGACGAACAAATTCTTCAACTGATTCCTCTCGACCCTGTTACCTTTGTTAGTATTACACTATATGAGAACCTAAAAACAATAAATATTTGTTTTTCTGAGATTGATGAGGCAAATAAAAGTGAATGTACTTCAACATAAAGATAAAGGACTGAGAAGACAAACTGGAGGAGGAGGGCGAATGCCCAGTGCACCAAAGCCTGCTCTGATTTTTCCACCAAGGCTCATCAGGTCAAAGAAAGGTAGATCATTAGGCTTCGCGGGTACTGGTCTGAGCTTTCCCTTCCACAATACAAATCGAGGTGCATCCGGATCTCCCAGAACTAGATCATCTTTCAAGCCACTATCCACCTGCCATTGTATAAGAATCAACAAATAAACCAAAGGAAAATATGTGCACAAAGAAAATCACTTACTGACAATACATATAAAACTTTCATACAACTGATGAGATAAAAAAACCTAAGACTAAATCTCTCAGTAATAGACGGTGGTCAATATGAAGATCGTCCCACTACACTAATTCTAGTTAGAGCATGAAACCCCATGAAACTACAATCAACAAAACTACGAAACTTAGAGTGGGCACCTTCCTCCATACATATACATTGATACATTCCACATACTACAAAGAATTTACAAAGCATTCGTAAAAGGGTTTTTCTCATAGACAGAAAGACCGTATGTTCATTTGATTTCAGAGGAACGGCATAAATGGTTAGATTCATTAGTCCGCTAGGAGGAATTTGGTATATCCCAATTAAACTCTTAGAACGGACTCACCAAGAACATGAACGGTCAGAGAAGGCTTTGCTTGTCCCATAATTATGGATCCGACTACGGTAATAGGAAAGGTTTTGCCAGCTGAGATTAATAATTTTCCGTATACAATGACTTCTTGAAGGAAGATAATTGCCCTCAATAGTTCATCTTAGATTATGAAAATTACTCTAAGAAGTTAAAAATCTAAGAGTTTCCTCTCTAATTTGATCCCTTATATAGTTAGAACCTAAGATTTTGGCCATTCCTAAAAAATTTCTAGCTCCCCTGCTCTAGAGAGAGTCAACAAAAACAGCATCAATCCATACGTTTTTAAAATACAGCGACATCAATGCTAACAGGAGATGGCTATTCAGCACACAACCTAAAATGGAGAAGACGGGGGGGATAAATAACGAGAATGATACCAACCACCATAGTGAGTAAAGGATCGGAGGGCTGGAAGCTATTAGGCCCTTCCTCCCAGAGATACCCATCTCTCTCAACCGTAGTGATGTTGCCTCCAACGCGAGCCTTCGCCTCTGTGACAATGATGTTAGGCGCAACATCAGGGTGCCTTGTTGCAAGTGCCTGAGCGATGCAAAGGCCAGAAATCCCACCACCAACGACCACGCAATCCACCCTGGAAGATTGACCAGAGACATCAGAAGTTGAAACAGTAGCGGAGCCCTCGGCGATTGAACATCTGAAATTGGGGCGAAGGTGATTGATTCGGATAGAAATGTGGAGTGGGTGGAAAGAAGGAATGTTCGAGGGGCGGAACAGAGTGGGAGGGTAAGGGCGCCGGAATGGGAGGTCGGTGAGAAGGGTGGCGCCGGAGGCCATGGCGGAGAGGAAATTGAGAATCGAAGGTGAAGAAAGGATGCAGAGTGAACTGTGGATTTGTTATCTACAACAGTATATCTGAAGAACCTGCCAACTCAACGAACATGGGGCGGTTTTGTCTGAATCGGTAAAATTTAATAATAATAATTAAAATTAAAATTAAAATTAAATATTTATTATCATTTAAAATACTTTTTTACACTGTGGAAACTACATTTAAAAAAAAAAAAAAATTTAAGTAGTAATAATAATAATAATAATAAAGAATAATGTTTTTCTTAGACATCACACATTTTATATATTTATATAATATAAAAGTCAAAAAGTACTATATCCATTTATTCATGTATCTTTTATTAACTCAGAATCACATGTCTACCAACTTCTACCTTAGTTCATTCTTGAACTACATGGTGAGAATTATTCGGTCACATTTTGGTCATGTTTGATTATTTTGGAGGAAATATTTTTTATTTTTTTAATATAATTTTTTTAAAAATGTACATTAAAAAATACTATTAATTATCACAATGACACTTTAATGGCAACGAACTTGCGATTGTGCGGTACTCACTCCCAGCAACATGTGAGTTAAGTCTATTCGTTCTTGCATCGCCTATGGCCAAGTGACGTATACTCAAGTCTCTGACCCCGGTTCAAGAAAAAAGTTTTAGAAAATGGGGGCAGAGAAATTTCGAAGGCGAATTTTGAAAGCAAGATTTGAGAAATTGAAATTGGTGTTATATGAGAATGTAAGCAAAAGACAACAACAACTACATTTTGGGGCATTTTAGCCTTGGCAGGTGTAGACATGATTTTAGTGAAAGTCAGACACCCCGTAGTGACCCAATATAAATTTGTAAAAACCTATATAGGATGAAAGCATGTAAAACGGGTTTGGAACGGGTATGCAACCATAGACAACACGTCATGGACAAGCAAGACTGGAATATCTGTCATGCGGCCATTAACAACAGGCCTTGGACATACATGATCGTAACATCCTCCCCCACTCACTTGGTTGACGTCCCTGTCAACCGACTCTGACAAATAAGACTGGGACATTTGTCATGCTTTAGGCAAGTATAACTGTAACATCCCCTGTCAACCAACTCAGACAAACAAGATTGAGACATGTATCGTACTTCAAGCAAGCATAATTTATAAAAATACGAATAAATTTTAACATTCATTTCTATAACAACTACCAACTAACATTATAACAAAAATCCCTTTATATAAATAGTTTTCTTCAATTAAACTTACCAAAAGCCCCATATATAACAATAATATTAAAAAAAAAAAAGTCGAGAACTAACGATGATGATTAATTTCAAGAGTCGAAAGTACGCTATCGAATACGTCCTAGAACAGAGCACATCTAAAGTATAACGACTAGAATGATATAGCCGAGGTAGACATCGAACCATTAACGTTCGAAATGTAACTATGATCGTATTTACTACATTTGTCTCGGGCGGGCTCGAGTTTACTTTGTAAGTAAGAGACAAGGGCATTTCAACCTCCCCAACAGCTAGCCCAACAAAAACTACTCCACCAACCCCATTTTCATAGCCTTTGCTCTCACAATTCAAAGGACCATTGGCCAAATGGTAAGTTCTCATTAGTCATTACCCCAACTTTCAGTCCTTGGTTTGGTTTCAATTCAATTGCTTTGAATTCAAGGTTAAGTCTCTTTTAGATGTGCCTTTTGCATTACCATACCATGCAAGCTAAGGTGGGTGTGACATTGATATATTATATACTATTTCAACTATATTATAAATAACCATACATCCTCCTCTTCATTTCATATTCTTTTCCCCATATAAATCATCAACCATGAATCCATCAAAAGTTTTCGTGTTCCTGTTCCTAGTCATGTCTTCTGCTGCTATATTTCCCGACTCCCATGCTTCTGACCCCGACGCGCTTCAAGACTTGTGCATTGCTGATACTTCCAAAGGTATGTATGCAAGTGATTATAATTAATATCGTGCCGATGTTAGTGGGTCGAGACATTTTTTTAGATTCAACTCAATGGTTCGAGTTGTAAATATTTTCAACCCAAACAATTCAATATGAATCCAACCCAACCAAACTATAACTCTTTTGAGTTTAATTGAGTTGGGTTGATTCCAGTTGTTTGAGTTATTTATTTAAAATACTGTTTATAAAATATCTATTTATTTATTTTTAAACATTTAATTTAAATTTACTAGTTACATTCTTAAAAATTATTTTTAAAAGAATAAATAATCTAATAAATAATTATGAATTTCAATAAAAAATAAAATAAATAAATAAATAAATATATATATATATATATATATATATATAATTATAATTATATCATACAAAAAAAATTGTTTTTAAATTTACAATATCCAATCTAATTTTAAAAAAATTCATTAGATAATTTTTATTTATTTAAACTTAACTTTGTTAAAAGATAATTCAATAAATAAATAAAAGTAAATAAATATATCTATAATTATAATTATCAAATTAAATAAAATTAAATAAATATATCTATATATATAGTTGTATACTATTTTTTAAAATTAGTTCATAAATAATTCAATAATTCAATAAATATTTATGAAATTAAATTAAAAAAATATATCTATATATATATATAGTTGTATACTATTTAAAAATGTATATTTGAAAACTTAACCAGTTCATAAATAATTCAATAAATAATTATGAAATTAAATAAAAATAAATAAATACATAAATATATATATATATATATATATATATATATATATATAATTGAATATAAAAATGTATATTTTAATTTTTATTTATTTTAACTTAACCCCTCCATCACCAAATTCAAATGGTACAAATTGAATTGAGTTAGATCTAATTAGATGAACACACCTGGACCGTTGGATCTTATAGGAACAAAAGTGAACGGATTCCCATGCAAGGAAGATGCCAACATAACAGCCGCCGACTTCTTCTTCACCGGACTAGCAAACGCCGCCACCATCAACAACTCCGTCGGATCCACCGTCACGCCGGCCAACGTCAACAAAATCCCCGGCCTCAACACCCTAGGCGTTTCCCTCGCTCGAATCGACTACGCAGCAGACGGCGGCCTGAATCCGCCACACGTGCACCCACGTGCCACCGAGATCGTCTTCGTCCTCGACGGCGAACTGGACGTTGGTTTCATAACTACCGCCAACAAACTGATTTCCAAAACCATAAAAAAAGGTGAAATCTTTGTCTTCCCCAAGGGATTGCTTCACTTCCAGCAGAACAACAAGGATAAACCCGCTTCTGTTATCGCCGCCTTCAACAGCCAGCTGCCCGGAACTGTGTCGGTCGCCGCCGCCTTGTTTTCCTCATCCCCCGCCGTCGACAACGGCGTCCTCGCCAGAGCTTTTCAGATTGATGCCGAAGTGGTGGGAGAGATAAAATCTAAGATTGCGGCTAAGAAGAAGTGATCTATTTTATGTGTACTGAGTTTTATTATTACTTTTTTTAATTTTTAAATGAGGAATAATTTTTGTTCATGAAAAATGAGGAATAATTGTGTTGGTTTCTACTATTTTGTATTTGTATGGTTATAATATATATTAAGCTAGAAATTATCTTTATATTATCTCATTTTCAATCCATTTTTTATTATATTAAAAAGCCTCAATTAGGCAACCCATCTTTAAAAAAACATGTGATTAAAATTTATAAACAAAAAAGGTTTTATTATTATTTTAGTATTAAATCTTTGTTTTTTCAATTTAATCGAGTTTTAGCTCGGAGTTTATATTTTAATATTTATTTTTAGTTGGTAAAGGTTAATTTTTCTTAAAATACAAAAAAAAAAAGAAAAAAAAAAGTAAAATGTTAGAGTTTTATAAACAATTTCTATCATATACTTATAATATATTTTTTTTAAATGAATGAATATTAATTTAATTTTTGTTTATTTTTTAAAAATTATTGAGTATTAATTTAATTTTTGAAATTTCAATAATTTTTTTTTAAAACGAGATATTAATGATTTTCATATATATAGTTACAATTATTTGTAACATTAAAGTATTTTTAAGGTAATTTTTAAATATAGTATTAAAAAATTAACATTAAAGTATTTTTATTTTATTTTTTTTTAGTTTAAAGTTTATTAATGAGATTTTAATATATATATATATTTGAAATATTAAAAAAAAATATAATTTAATATTTATTAAAATAATGCATCCTTTTTCACAGGGAAAGAAAATAGAATTTTGTAAGACGTTTGGAGAGTCGGGACTTCATTGGATCATTGGATTGATATTACAATTTCAGAAAGCAAGAAACTAGGGTTTTTTCTCCGGCGGGGATTTGATGAATCAACAGTCGAAAAAGAAGAATTTCCGGAAAAGGAATTGTTACGATATAGAAGATGGAGAAGATGGGGCGAATTCCACTTCCACCAAATCGGAGGAGGAAGAAGAAGAGCACAGGATGGCATTGGAGGAGGTAAAATTTTTGCAGAAACAGAGGGAGAGGAGGGCCGGAATTCCTGCACTTCCCTCTGTATCGATGCAGACCAGCACCACCGGTGCTAGCGGCGCCAGCGGCGGCGGCGGTGGTCTTGTTAGGAAATCCACTGACGCTAACAATAAAACTGGTGGCGGCGGGGGCAGTAAGAATGAAAGCGCGGGAGGCGAAGGCGACAAGGATGATTTGGTTCTTCAGGATACCTTCGCTCAGGAAACAGCCGTCATGGTTGAAGATCCTAATATGTATTATTCCCCTTAATTATGTCGTTTCTCAACAAATATATCTATTTGATTAATTTGATTCTAGTGTGTGTTAAAAGTTGGAGCTCTGACGGGTTCTCTTAACAGGTTGAAGTACATCGAACAAGAACTGGCAAAGAAAAGGGGGAGAACTCTCGAGACTGTAGAAGGAGCTGAGAATGACTTGAAACAGGCGGAAGATGAACTATACAAAATCCCGGAGCATCTTAAAGTGAGTGAGTAGCCAACGTAGTGTTCTTGTCTCTTCTTTCGCAGTTCGTCTGTTCAGTTCTAATCGGCTGAGTGCTGCATTAGGCTTTTGTTCGTGTATTCTGGGATTCGATTTCACTTACCATTTTTGGATTGTTGTCAGGTGAAAAGACGAAATTCTAATGAAAGTTCCACTCAGTGGACTACAGGGATTGCAGAGGTTCAGCTTCCAATTGAGTATGTCCTTTCTCCTCCTTTGTGAAAGAACTTCATTAATTTGTCCAGTGATTATCAATTTTGTGTACTTTCTGTGTATTATGAGCAATGGAGATCAAGCAGGAGATAGAATGGAATCATACTGACCCAGTTACTATGTTGTGCAGTAACACAGAAATTAAGTACTTTGGAGCATTTGATTCCTCGGTTATTAACTTATCTTCTGGTTTATCTGGTGTATTAAATAAGCATCTGTTGTAATTGTGTTGGATGTGGGTATTTTCCACTGACATTTATGAAGTGTGTTCAACTTCTCGTTGCTCTATTTGTGACAGATTCAAGTTGAAGAACATTGAAGAAACCGAGGCTGCAAAAAAGCTTTTACAGGAGAAGAGATTTGTGGGTCGGTCAAAATCAGAGTTTAGCATCCCCTCAAGTTTTAGTGCTGATTATTTCCACCGGGGTAGGGATTATGCTGAAAAACTTAGAAGAGGTGCTTCATCTCTTTATATTGTTTATGGTTTGGGATGATGTTGTTCTATTATTTACTCTTGACGTGAGTTTAAGTTTTGGTGATCACGTACCTAAGATTTTAGTTTCATACAAATTTTCTGCTTACCAAATATGCGTGCCTATGATCTAAATTCTACACATGGGGTAGTTGAATTGTTGGATCATAAACTAAACACCTTGATGTCAGGAGAAAGGGAGGAAAATATACTCCTATAATTTATAAGATGTTATAGTATTTCTGACAAGGAATAAAAAATGTGCAGAACATCCTGAGCTATACAAGGGTAGAAATTTGCAAGAGGATGGTTCTGGTTCCAAACCAACTGATACTGGCACAGAGGCTGCAGGACAAAGGCAGGCTGCCACAGATGAGTTCATGCTAGAACGCTTCCGGAAACGGGAACGCCATCGTGGTATGCGGAGGTAACATATTTCTCGGACTGCTGTTTCTCCAGAATACGAAGTGACCTACTCGATAAGTTAAGCATCAAGGATAAAGGTTTTGGTCGTACAAATATTCTTTCACATCATGATGGCCATCTCAGGACCTCAGGTTAGAGAGGAAATGAAATTCATTCTTAGTTCATAGTTGTGAAGTCGGCTGACTGACTTATGATTCAAAGAGAGTTTTGGATATACTAATATTGATAATATGGTTTGCCTCGGTCTGGCCTATCTACTTGTGTCTTAGTCTAGCCTCTTTGTGTTACTGTTTAGGTTTTTCAGCTTTCATGTACTAGTGTAGAGCTAGACCAAAAGATGTGGAAAGAAAACGTCCTTTTATGGTGACGTTGAGATATTGAGAACATGAACGATACCGATGAAGGAAAATTGTAGACGATATGTTATTAGATGATGTCTTAGCTAATTAATTCCAGTTTTATTATGTTACTCTTTTCTATCGTCTTTTGTTAGTATTGTGATGCAACATAAACTATAAGATAAGAAACAGTGGTAACAAAGGTACATTACTTGAGGTTTATTGTGAAATTATTTTCCTTTGTTACTTTAGAAGACTTCTTTCTTTCAACTCAGTCAGAAAATGGTTAGAATTTAAAATAGAAATGGAACAAGAAAGTTGTCCTTTTTCTTTAGAACAACAAATATGCCATACGAAATTTAAACCTCTGACATATTGATTACTTGATATGTTAGATGCCAGAATACTCTAACATTTATGTATGTATTGAACCAACAAGCATCCACAGGTATCAATTCATATCGAACTGGTTGAGTATAATTAGCTGTCCAACAGTTATTTTCTTCCTAGGCTAGAAAAGGGTCTAGCACTGTCATCATTGCCATAAGGAGGTTGTCGCGTTCATGGGCATTGGAGTAGGATATGTATAAATAATTGAGTCGTCGTATGGAGGCTTGTCATCGGTCATTTGAAGTCTATCAACACACCACGGTTGTTGGAGAGGGGATCATGATATTGGTGCTCGTAAAAGATCTGATAAAAGTTTGAGAAGATAGAATTCTAGACCATCAATCTTGAGATTTACAACTCATGACGCATTACAACAAATAAAATTAATTCGATATATAAGACACTTATTACCTTTCCTAATACTAAGGTTCCATCACCTAAACGAACTTAAAAAAATGACCTCAAGTAGGTTGCATTACAAGTTCATAAATTTTGACAATGAGCTAAACATGAAGCTATTTGAACTGACATACTCCATGGTCAAATTCAAGAACAAGTTCCTCCCTCAATAGCAATCTGGGATTTCAAGAACAGATTAGACGACATCGCCCAAAGCTCCTTGGCAAGTTTTGTGTCGTATGACCAAGCAGAAGACTTGACCGTCCTACCGTCTCCGCCGAAAAAGTAAACACCAGATGTTTCCTGACATAAGAAAGTTCAGTCTACTCAATTGAAGATCTTAATAGAACTATGAAACACACAGACAACCGCAAAAAACTCTCACAGGTAATGCAAAGGCTGCATCCAAAATGGAGTTGACCCCATCTTCAGGTAGCTGTAGAAGCCTCAAAAGCCTCAATACTGTAAATGCTACCCTAGAAAGATATGTAGGAACTTCTCTCATGATGTTTGTTTTGACTACTCCAGGATCCGCAACACTTCAGAATATGAAGAGATCATATTTAACAAACAAAAATCAGCAGATCCATATCAGAAGCCTTGAAGGCTAGTTAGTACAAAACAAGGATAACCAAAGGCAACGACGACAAAGTTCCCTTACACGACTGTTACTTTATTAGATCCGTTCTCTAAGGAAAGTTTTCGGTGAAGCTCATAGGAGAACAGCAGTAAGCATACTGTAACAGAAAATGGATAGCGCTTGTCAGAATCGAGAATCGTATCATAAATAGTTTCACAAAACATTGATTGCTCACATTTAGAATACTCATAGATACTAGCACATGGATATTGATCCAATCCCACGAAGCGCTTTCCACATATGGTATCCTCGTCAACCTGAACATCAAAAACTGTAGAACACAATGAAGCCATTATTAATGTTGTTGTTGCTTTCACAAGACACATTTATGAACAAATCAAGCACTTGAAGAGATTACCCAGTCTTCAAGAGATGTTGAATGCCAAAAAGAACACAGTAAAAAAATTAAAGCGTGGGGAGCTATCATTCTAATACAGAAAATTCTTACCACATCTATGTGTGAAGGATGAGACATTCACTATCCTAGATGGAAAAGGGCTGTTCTTCAGGAGTGGCAATAACATTTGAGTCAAAAAGAACGGGCCAACATAATTTGTAGCCATCATCCTGAGAATATAAGAAGTTACAAAGGTAGGCCAGGTTGAAAATATCTTGAAAATAAGATGTAAAATGAAATAGAAAAATAAATTAGAAAATCACAATGGAAAAATAAAGCCAAAAACTTCAAAGAGAAAAACCAATTTCAGCATATAAAGAAGCAATGATAGGCTAAGGGTAACGGAAAAGCTCGACCAAATAGATCACAGTAATAGCTCACTATCTCACAATGAACAAGAGTTCAAAGAGGCACATGAGAGTATTAAGTTTCAACAGCAATTTTCCATAGCTACATTTAAACTAATCCGAAGTCGAAAATTATATTGAAGTTCAGAGGCACAGTACCGTTCGAATCACTGCATTATTGCAAGACTAAAACACTTGAGCAAAGACAGGGAATAGAGATGTAACTGGTCATAGCCTTCAGAAGTGGATCTAGATGACGTTGCCAATATCCCGGCGTTATTAATCAAAAGTTGCAATGAAGGATGCATCTTAGAGCCTTGGAGCCAAAGCTGAAGGGAATTCTTGAAGTCCAAGATTGACTGAACAGATAAAAGATCGACTTGAAAAGCTTTAAGAAGGGCTTTTTCATTCTGCCTTTTTATCTCTGACATTGTCTGCGACAATGTAAGCAATCACCAAAACGAGGAAAAACACATGAAATGAGGTAGGGACAAAACAAAATAAAAAACAGTTCATGAGGCAAACCTTTAATAACAAATGCCTTGACCGTCCAGCTGCAAGTAGAAAATAAAATTTAAGAACACAAGCATCAGTTTTTAACTCTGTTATTTTGTAGAGAGATTTGATTGGCTTGCATAACATTTAATGCAAAGGAAATGGCATCAAGAAGGGTTTAGTTAAGTTGATTTTCCATCATTAGAATAAGGGCTTAAAAATTAAAAACAGTCTTATTACTGGTAAATACGTTGAATAAATTCATCATGCACAGATAAATGAAAATATTATCGGCACTCTATCAGAAGTCGTTTTGTAAGTAAGAGGCAGTAATAGTTTGAAGGTAAACAATGAGAATTGGGAGCATTATAATCCACATAATGTTTTGGAAATGAAGACAGGGTCCAATAATATTTGCAATGAGCATTAGTTTCTAACAGCTAGATTCAAATGGAAAATCAAAATCAAGACTGCAATAGAAGTTGAGAAAACGAATGAAATGGTACGAGAAACCAACCAAGAACGACGTAGAAACCACGTTTAGAAAGAGCAAGAGCAGCAGCTGCACCCAATCCAGAGGTAGCCTACAACTTTCAAAACAAAGATACTAAATGAATTAAAAGCTGTACGTGCAGAGAAAGAAAGAGAGATTCAAATTTAACTTCAATCAAGCATAAAAGTCACAGGCAACTTTACACCGGTGATAACGCAAAGGGGCACGACGTCTTCTGAGGTGTAAGAAGAAGCCCTTTCATAGGAGTAGGAGGTTCCAGGTCTGTGCTTAATAGACAAAGAGAGAAATCTTTCAAAAAATAGCACCAAGTAAGAATAGAGGATAGAGAGATTCCACAGCACCGCCATCCTCCAAAACTCTGTTGATCTTAAGAACTGCCAAACTTTTTTCAACTCTGTTTTCATGGAAGCCATCCTCCAAAATCCTAAGTATGAGCCATCAGACATGGAAAAAGTTAAAATCTAAACCTTTATACATAGAATCTTGATCACTTACCAACAGGGCAAAGACAAACATTATCATTTGAATACGTAAACACCATATACATAAGTATTTTTTGTGCACATTTGATACATAGAATCTTGATCATTCTAAGGTGTAGACATTGATACTCTAAGCCACATCAAACTATGAATCTCACAGAGAGAATCGCCCCAGACATATCAATAAAAGCACACTACAAAAAGGAATGCAAAAAAATGTTTTGGAATTAAAGGATAATATGATTCGCCCAACTGCCATTTACGGAGAGCACACTACAAGACAGAAACATACCAACAAACCCCATCAGGTTAGGCTCTACTTTTAAGAAAGAGAGAGCCCTTGTCGACAGATATACGCACCCTATGAATTGAACAAGAATTCTGACCAATCAATCCCTTAGCCACCAATATCCTTCTTAGAATCACTTTTGTCTGAATGTGCAAAATCATTAAGAAATACATCTTCAATCATTTTAAAACCGACTTCGAATCATCAAAATCAGGCTTGTTTTTCAATACGACAAAATGATTTTACAATCAGTTCAAAGTTCCACTCACTTCCGGCTTGGATTAATAAATTTGAAGCTTTAATACAACAATAACCTAATGAAAATCAGATTTTAAATCAACCCGTCGTGAATAAACTTGAATGAAGAAATTAAAATACCTCGAGATTGATGGGTCAGGGCTTCAAAAAGGCAACCACTTTCGAGTCAATCTCTCGCAGACTGTCTTCCTTCTCAACTTTCCGAATAAGAAACGAGAAGAATGATAGAACTCGGCCGCAAAAAGAGGGAAGAAGAAAGAAACGACCAATTTACCAACCTCCAAGTTTAAGCCATTTTTTTTCTTAAAATATTTTAATAAAAATATATATTTTTTTATATATATTTATTTAAATAACAAACATTCAAAGAATGTTAAACATCTAATATACTTTACCTAATTATTTCAACCATGATTTTAATATTAATAATAATGTAAAAATTATTTTATTATAATAAAAAAACAAACCAATTAATCGAGCTGTTCAAATAATTTGATAATCTGATATACAGTTGAGTTGGATTTTTAAAAAATTGAAAAAAATTCTGAATAGTAATTTAATTTTAATTTTAAAATTGGATTAGATTATGAATTCTATTTAATTGGTTCAGTTGTCAAGCTAATGATGGGTTTAAGCTTTCCCCTCTCTCTCTCGTTTGGTTCTAATATCAATTGGGATTAAAAAATGGTCCGAGCCGCTACTCATCAAGTAGGCGCAGTTCGTTTTCGATCAGGCCACTAGTGGCGGCAAGTGAGGCTTCTCTTTCTCACTTCTTCCACTTCCCCATCTCAGTTTAAGTTTGATTTTTAACACCATTTCGTTTCAATTCTGCGATTTCTGTTGTTTCACTGAGATTTCTCTCAGCTCTGCTCACTCCTCATTGTCTTCTTCATCTTTAATCTATATCTATATATATATATTTTTTAATTTCATGGAATAATGTTGTTTCTTCTCCGTTTCATACTGTTATATAAGTGCAGAGGCGATGATAACTGAGTTTTCCTGTTGTTTTTTAGCTCATGATTCGTGTTCGATTAATTTGGGTTCATTGGAGACGGAACTTAAAAAAACCCTTATTTGTAGAACCCTAATAAAACTTAGGTTTTGGCCTAATCCTGTATGTTTATTTATGTCATTGGCATGAATTTGGTGCGATCCCTTATCAAAATGAAGTGAAAATTTTAAAACGTTTAAGGGTAGATTGAAACTAACCATACATTAGAGCCATTCTATGTACTTTAGCCTTTTAATTTATACCAATTGGAAACATTTTGTTACCCATCCTGATGTCTTGTCACCCCTCTTTTGTAAGCTTTCTTCACTATTGTTAAACATTACTGTTACAAGAGAAGAGGAGAAAAGAAAAGATGGCTCGCTGGTTTTTTCCAACATTTTTCTGACTTGATTTGCTCTATCTTTTTCGTTTACTTGAATGTTTCCCCTATTATTCATGTTTGATTTGGTGAACTATTTTTGTAATTGCTTTCAGATTCCAAATAATGAAGTTTTCTCTATACTGAAAAGTGTTCTTAGTTTTTAAGATATTTTGTTCCAGTTAATTCTTGTATGATGCCATTGAAACTCTTTCTTTTTTTTAAATGTATTCGTGTGTATGTATCTGTGTGTGCATGCTCATATCTAAATATTTGTGGTACGTTGTCATTGTAGGTGATAATGTCATGACATCGTTGATAGATAACCTTTGTTCATAACAACTTCTGTGATTTTTCTCACACTGGCTTATATGAATCAAATGAGCAAAAAGACCGTCCTCTCAAAAATCATTGGTAAGAAGCACCATTTATTCTCTTCTCCATTTCTCAGTTTACCCTCCAGACTTCTAGTTTTTCAAATGCACTATGATGTAGCCACCTGCAATTTTCTTCTACAATCATATGCGAACCACAAGAATCTCCCCGAAGGAAAGCAGCTACATTCCGTAATGATTACTTCTGGATTTATGCATTTGCCTTCATCCATTACTAGCTTGATCAACATGTACTCTAAATGCAATCAAATGGAACAAGCTGTTTTAGTTTTCCATGATCCATATCATGAACGTAATGTGTTTGCATACAATGCAATAATTGCTGGATTTGTTGCAAATAGGCTTCCAGCAAATGGGTTTCAATTTTATAAGAGAATGAGGGCAGTGGGTGTAATGCCAGATAAGTTCACTTTTCCATGTGTAGTTAGAGCTTGTTGTGAGTTCATGGAGGTTAGGAAGATTCATGGCTGTTTATTTAAATTGGGGCTGGAGTTGGATATGTTTGTTAGTAGTGCTCTTGTCAATACTTACTTGAAGTTCGACTTAATGGAGAACGCCAAGAAAGTATTTGAAGAGTTACCCGTGAGAGATGTTGTGCTTTGGAATGCAATGATCAATGGCTACGCCCAAATTGGTCACCTGAACAAAGCAGTAGTGGTTTTTAAGAAAATGGGGGAAGAAGGGATTTCACCTTGTAGATTTACAATTACTGGCATTTTATCTATTTTTTCTTTAATGGGAGACGTTAACAATGGGAGAGCAATTCATGGAATTGTAACAAAAATGGGTTATAGTTCATGTGTTGCAGTTTCAAATGCGCTAATTGATATGTATGGGAAATGCAAGCATATTGAAGACGCTTTAGTAATTTTTGAGATGATAAATGAGAAGGATTTATTTTCATGGAATTCAATTATATCTGCTCATGAACAATGTGTTGATCATGATGGTACCTTGAGATTTTTTGACAAGATGTTAGCTTCTAGGGTTCTACCTGATGTGATTACTATCACTGCTGTACTTCCTGCTTGTTCTTACTTTGCTGCTCTCATGCATGGAAGAGAGATTCATGGATATATGACTGTTAATGGATTGGGAAAAAATGAAGACGGTGATGATGTATTATTAAACAATGCTGTTATGGACATGTATGCAAAGTGTGGATGCTTGAAAAATGCCCACAGAGTCTTTGATCGAACGAGCAATAAGGATGTGGCGTCGTGGAACATCATGATTATGGGTTATGCAATGCATGGATATGGCCAAGAAGCATTGGATATGTTTCATCATATGCGTGAGGCTCAAATTAAGCCAGATGCTATCACATTTGTTGGAGTTTTATCTGCATGTAGTCATGCGGGCTTTCTACGTCAGGGGCGCTCGTTCTTAGCCCGAATGGAACTTGAATTTGGTGTGGTTCCAACTATCGAGCATTATACATGTATAATTGACATGCTCGGTCGAGCTGGACATCTGGGGGAAGCTTATGAACTGGCTGAAAGAATACCTCTTCAAGACAACCTTGTTTTGTGGATGGCATTGTTGGGAGCATGTCGACTTCATGGGAATGCAGATTTGGGAAAAGTTGTTGGAGAAAAGATAATGCGACTTGAACCTAAGCATTGTGGTAGTGGTAGTTATGTATTGATGTCTAGTATGTACGGAGTCGTAGGTCGATATGAAGAAGCATTGCAGGTTAGACGAATGATGAAGGAACAAAACGTTAAGAAGACACCGGGTTGTAGCTGGATTGAACTCAAGGACGGACTGTATGTTTTTAGCATGGGAGACAGGACACATCCTGAATTAAATGCACTGATTCATTGCCTTTGTGGCATTGGATACCTTCATGATGAAGTTATGAATTCGGCTTAAGATATGGTAGCATTTGCAATTGAATTGATCTACCACACTTGCTTACAGAAGTCACTCTCGCAGCAAGGAAGAATGATTGGCTATGGCCTTTGGATCCATCGTGCACTTTTTAAGGTTTGTTCTCTCCATTGCAAGCATACCAGTCTCAATAGGGTTGTTACATCCCCTCCACAAATGCATTTGGAAGCATAAATAGAACGAAACATTTTTTATAAGGGTGTGGAAACATTTCCTTAGTAGAGACGTTTTAAAACTTTGAGGGTAAGCTCGAAAGGAAAAGTCTAAAGAGGACAATATCTGCCAGCGATGAGTCTGGGCTGTTACAAAAATATCCAAAGAAGATATAATATTTTCCTATGGAGCCCGTTTGGAACGACTTTCTAACTTAAGCATTTGAAAAGTCGCCCCAAACCGTCCTTCGCCATAGAGGCACAATAAGAACGAGTCGGTTAAAAAAGGATGCAATTTCTCTAATGAGTTTCTCTAGTCAAATCAATGGCTCTCCCAAGTGATAGGAAGTCCTAATTGGGAACCTTCTTTTGGCCGGCCATCCTTTGAAGAACGGCTGCAGCTTATTAGAACAGTTATTTTGGTTGATCGAGATCGAAAGAACAACCACTTCTTCAGCTACGCGTCCACAAGTTTGAACATGGATTCGATTCCTACAATTATTGTGTTTTTGGTTTAAATTTTGTTCCCCACTTACCAATTATTGTCTCAATGATCTTGAAGAAGCTATTTTCTGGTCTCTTTTCACAGAATCTCTTAGTATATTTTTTTAATATTGCATAATATCAATAAAATATTTGGTTACTAAAACTTTATTAGACGCAGATTATTTTTGTAATAATCTCTAGAAGTTCACATATATGTGGATCGATGAAATCTATTAAATTAACCTAATTATAGATTAGATATAGTACACGATCTTGAGATTTGAATCTATTTGATCCATGAATTTAGAAGAGAAGAACGAACAAAAATTCATAAAATTTAAAAATTAAATCATCTATTAAATACAAAATTAAATTTAATGTCTATTAAAACTTTAAATTTTGTGTCAGTAAATTTATAAATTTTAAGAAATTTAAAATTTTAATTTTGATTTTTTTTTTATCAAATTTAAAATTTAAGAAATTCCTTTTTCATATTAAACTTCGAAGTAGTTGAGAAGACGTCGTTACATCCAACAAAAAGAAATTAATTTTCCATATTTGTAATAATAATTTAATTATATTTATTTTAATTCCCGAAATGGTTCAGCTCTTTCTAGAAGCTTCTACGTCACCCTCTTAAACCCTGGCTCAAGGGTTTAATTACACCAGTTTCTCCCACTGGAACTCGCCTTTTGCTCCTTCTTTGCAACACTCTTATCTTTTCACAGCGCTTCATGGCTCCAATCTTCACTAGAACTTTATCCACTCTTGCTCTCTCTTCACTCCCTTCATCTTTTTCTCACCCTCTGCCAAGCAGTGCTACGCGCTCGAGCTTCACAAGTGCTTTTCTCCACCAAAATGGGCTCAGAAATGGCTTTTCTTGTGATGGGTTGAAGTGGAAGATTGAGAAGAAGAGAAACCGGATTTCGGTCAGGTGCGAAGCGGCCGTCGCTGAGAAAGAAGCTACTGAGACTCTTGGTGAGAAGTTTGAGTACCAAGCCGAGGTGGGTCTTTGAATTTTCCGTGTTTGCTGATGATGTCGATTTATTTTGAATCCAGAGAGAGCCCAACTCTGAGAATTGAATTGCGCCTCTAACCATGGGAAGGGAAATGTTCATCCTATTTGATAATTAAGATTCTTTTGGATGGAGAAAGTTTTCTGTAGATGAAATGAGATTTTTTACGAAGTTGTTAAAGGATTAGGATTTCTCCTTAATTTCGTTTTCTGTTAAGTCATTAGGTGGATGAGGGTAACAACCAAAAAATTTACAGAATACGGATTCTGTTATGGTTTTTGAGTTGATTTGGTATTTCTTGAAACATCAATTCCCAAACATGTCTCTGGTTTTTGTGGTGTCTTAGTCATGTCCATGGCATGTTTAATCATGGGGTTGTTGCCAACTGATAGCTGGAACATATATAATGAGTGCAGGTTAGTCGCCTCCTGGATTTGATTGTTCACAGCCTTTATAGTCACAAGGAAGTGTTTCTTCGAGAGCTAGTGAGGTAATGTTGTTCATTTTGTACTGATTCTGTAATTCCATTGATCTCTTTCTGACTGTCCGGTTTTAATTTGTTTCCTTCCCGGACATTTTATCATGTTATTATAATTCTTAATAATTTCATTGAAATTTTTTTATTAGATTTTATGTAGTATTATCTTTAAGGAAGCAAGAAAATGTTCATGCATTGTAGTGGATTCTGCTGAATATTGTTCAAACATTCTTTTAATTGTTCTCCAGTAATGCGAGTGACGCTTTAGACAAACTAAGATTCTTGAGCGTGACCGAGCCTACTCTGCTTGGAGATGCTGGTGACCTTGAAATACGTATCAAACCTGATGCAGACAGTGGTACTATCACCATAACGTATGGAAATTTTCTTAGTTCTATTACAGTTTTACTTTCCATTTTGAGTGAACTTAGTTATATTACAATTGGAATTTTTGTGTTTTTAGAGATACTGGCATTGGAATGACTAAAGAAGAGCTCATTGACTGTCTTGGAACTATTGCTCAGAGTGGCACTTCAAGATTCTTGAAAGCTCTTAAGGTTTTTCCTCCCTCCATTTATACTCGTTTCAGTACGATATTCTACTCATCTTAACTTCATTCAGGGTTTTTATACTGAGTATATGTGAATTTAAATGTTTGGACATATAAGGAAAATAAGGACGCTGGAGCAGATAACAGCTTGATTGGCCGATTTGGTGTTGGGTTCTATTCAGCCTTTCTGGTTGCTGAAAAGGTAGAGTTACATTTTGCCTTGACATAATAACTGTTCTCCTAATTGAAGCTTGATCAAAGTTCTTTTCTGCTAAGATTCAACATTTTGACTCACTTCTGCATTTCGGGGATCATATGTAATCAGGTTGTTGTATCCACTAAGAGCCCAAAATCAGATAAACAATATGTTTGGGAAGCAGTAGCGGATAGTAGTTCATATGTTATTAGGGAAGAAACTGATCCTGAAAAGCTCCTACAGCGGGGAACACAGATTACCCTCTACTTAAGGGTATGGAATCTTCATCTCTTCTATCATAGAACGTCAGGAACTCTTCTCATGCCTTTTAGGGACCGCTAAGAAACTCGGGTTTTTTTAATGCTGATTGGTAGAATAACTCAGTTTAGATGAATGTGCTGATTGCTATATTTACAGAGTTAAGGAGAAGAAAGTAATATTTGGCGGTGGTGGTGGTGTTTTTTAATATTTATTTTTATTGTATTGTAGATAGTAGACTTGGTTCCATGATTTGTATTATTTTAGTGGAAAGTGATGCCATTAAATAACCATATCCACATTTTATTATCTTGTTCTCAAATTGCAGGAAGACGACAAGTATGAATTCTCTGATCCGTCTAGAATTCAAGGTTTGGTCAAGAATTACTCACAGTTCGTTTCCTTCCCCATCTACACATGGCAAGAGAAATCAAGAACCGTTGAGGTATGAATTCTATGCATTTACACGTGGTTTGTATAAACAAGCTATGTAAATGGCTCTAGTTCTTTCTCTTCTTAATGGGTTTGGGTATATCATACTCTGATTATTGATATGCAAGGAAAATTGGTTGCGTGTTTCTTTATGAAATGAGTTAACCTTTCAGATTTCTACTTAAATGTTTTATCCAAAATGATTCTGTAATGTCTGATATTTATTTATCTCGAGGTATTCTTTGAGCTCTATTCTTGTCTATCACTTTCTTGATGTGGTTATAATTTAGGAGGAATCGGCTTGTGTATCATTTTTTAATTATCATGATGTTTATTACTATTGATATTGAATAGAATTCTTGGGCAGGTGGAAGAAGAAGAAGAACCGAAAGAAGGAGAAGAACCAAAACCAGATGTAAGCCACTTGCAAATCTTAGTTTGGAGATTTGCATCATTCTCCAATATCGAAGTATTTGAAGGATTTTTTTTTTCAGGGTGAGAAGAAAAAGAAGACAGCAACTGAGAAGTATTGGGACTGGGAATTGGCTAATGAAACAAAGCCAATATGGGTGAGTTAAAGTGACATCTGCATCATATGTCCACACTGAACTTGTAAAGAAATGATTTTGTTTCTATACTTGGTTAAATATTTTGCAGCAATTGTGTATCTTCTTACTCCCTTATTCTGTTAATTTGCTTGTGCAGATGCGGAATTCAAAAGAAGTTGACAAGGACGAGTACAATGAATTCTATAAGAAGACATTTAATGAGTTTCTAGACCCACTTGCATATACTCACTTCACCACTGAGGTATAGTGAGTCCTTTGGTTTAATTAATCTAATTTTTCTTTCATTAAGGGGTACTGATTTCATTTCTAAATCTGCAGGGCGAAGTGGAGTTCAGGAGTGTTCTATATATTCCTGGAATGGGACCTCTGAATAATGAGGATGTTGTAAGCTCTAAAACAAAGAATATCCGTTTGTATGTCAAGCGTGTCTTCATCTCTGATGATTTTGACGGTGAGCTGGTGAGTATAAATATTTTATAGACTCTCATGCAGCGTAGTTATATTTTTACTTGAGTTTCTATGAGTGGTGGAACTAAATCTTACATGTCCTTTGCAGTTTCCACGATATTTGAGCTTTGTGAAAGGTTTGGTAGATTCTGATGACCTCCCCTTGAACGTTTCTCGAGAAATTCTTCAAGAAAGCCGAATTGTAAGTTTTTGGAACATAAATGTTAGTTTCTTATGAAGGGCTATATTACTTTTGGTTTCAGCTGTTTCCAAGGCAGTAAACATGCACAATGATATATTCTCATACATGCTCTCTGGTTTTCTATTCATTCCTACAAACCTGAAACCCCAAGATTAATATGTTTCAACATTTTTGTTTTGCATTTCAATGGTATTACTGGTTCCATAGGCATAAACATAACATCTTATTTCCGTTGCCTTGATGATTCTGCTCCTATCAAATATTTTCCAGGTGAGAATTATGAGGAAGAGACTTGTTAGAAAAACATTTGACATGATTCAAGACATCTCTGAAAGTGAAAATAAAGAGGTTTGTGGTTATAAAGCCAAATGTGATTTATATTTCATTTTTTAGTACTGTGTAAACTTCTAAAAGGAAATCTCAATTTCAGGATTACAAAAAATTCTGGGAGAATTTTGGCAGGTTCTTAAAATTGGGTTGTATTGAGGATACTGGAAATCACAAGCGCATAACACCATTATTGCGTTTTTACACCTCCAAAAGCGAGGAGGTCCTGAAGAGCTTGGATGATTATGTAGAGAACATGGGGGAGAATCAGAAGGCAATTTACTACTTGGCGACTGACAGCTTAAAGAGTGCCAAGAGTGCTCCATTCCTGGAGAAGTTGGTTCAAAAAGACATTGAGGTAAAATATTCATACCATTATACCGCTTTAACGAATGCCTGGTTGGAAGGTACTCTTGTACAACTGCTGGGCTGACTTGGGGTGTTCTCTTGCCCACTTCCCATCTTTCTTCTTGGTTTAATGGATTGCAGCGATAATGGAAGTTGTTTGTCTTTGACCAGACATTCTACATCTAATGTGGGTTTATTTTATTCGATTAGGTTCTTTACTTGATTGAACCTGTGGATGAAGTTGCTATCCAGAACATACAGACATACAAGGAGAAAAAATTTGTTGATATTAGCAAGGAAGATTTAGAGCTGGGTTTGTTCTTTGTTCCTTCCTCCCTAATCTTTGGTTTTGAAATTAGCTTTACCTGCAGAGAATTTTATTTGATTTTTGTGAAAAACAGGAGGTTAGGTCTGCATGTAACTAATAATTGTATTCTTGTTCCAGGCGATGAGGATGAAGTTGAAGAACGAGAAACTAAGCAAGATTACAATCTTCTCTGTGACTGGATTAAGCAACAACTAGGTGACAAGGTTGCAAAAGTCCAAGTCTCAAAGCGCTTAAGCTCTTCTCCATGTGTCCTAGTTTCTGGCAAGTTTGGATGGTCTGCAAATATGGAAAGGTTAGTTTTGGACATTAAATGCTCAATATAGCTAATCTAGATGTGAACGAATGGATTGCATCTTTTCTGTTGCTGATGAAACGGTAATGAACGAGTACATCAATAGTTCTTTTAGATTTAGCTTTCAACTATTTTGATCATAAGTGAACATTCTCCAACCATGTAAACGCCTTAGTTTTTCACTTGAAACAAAATTTCTGTGGGTTTTCGTTTGTAACAATGTTTTATCGACATTTTCCCTCCAGGTTGATGAAGGCACAGGCTCTTGGGGATACTTCAAGTTTGGAGTTCATGAGGGGAAGGAGAATTTTGGAGATTAATCCTGACCATCCGATCGTCAAGGATCTAAATGTAAGACTTCTAAACCATCCCTACATTTTGAGTGGGAATAGGTACTTGTTAGTCTAAGCTAGCGGATATCCATTTATTTCAATTTGGTCAGGATAGAACATTGGGGATATAATCTTTTTTTCTCCCCCTAAGATCAAGCCAATTTCTTTTTGTCAAAGATTGCTACACATACTGCTAAGGTTGTCAACGTCTGGAAATTGCTTGCGTGCTTGTGTGATGGGGACTCGTATAATTGATATCTTGAGTGGATTTTATTTGTATTGTAAAGAAAATAGAACATTAGTTCATAACTGACTCTTTAGAAGTATATTAACTCGTACTCCTGCTTTATAGGCGGCTTGCAAAAATTCACCGGATAGCAGTGATGCTAAGAGAGCCGTTGATCTTTTATACGAGACAGCATTGATATCCAGTGGATTCTCTGTAAGGGAAAATTCAATTAGATGATTGAATATTTTCAAGAGTTAATGATATTGGTTGATTTCTTACTATACTCATGCTTGTCTGAATGCAGCCTGATAGCCCAGCTGAGTTGGGAAGCAAGATATATGAGATGATTGCAATGGCTGTTGGAGGCAGATGGGGTCGATTAGAAGACAATGCCATTGCCGAAGATGCTGCCGAGGCCGACAGCACTGAAGCACCGGAAGTGCAAGTGATCGAACCCTCGGAAGTGAGGACAGAGGATGATCCATGGCAGAATTAATATGAAATAAACCTTGGGTAGATTTTACAGCATTTTAACAGTCCTGTAGACGAAAGAAATAGGTTGTATGGCGAGCATTCATTTAAATGGGCAAAGTTTTGATTCATTAATATGTAGGGGAATGTATGGCTAGACTAAACATGAATAAGGACCACAATTCTTGATAATGTTGCAATGAAATTCTTACAGTTTCCTTTGTCTCAACCTTAACACGTCCATTGATATCAAAGATGTCTTGTTTGAGAATTGTAAGACAGTTCCAAAATGGATAGAGAACAGGAAGAAAAAGAGGAGAAGAACTAACATATACATGAGAAGATTTTACAAGATCTTCAATAATGGGGAAGTGAAAAATCAGGCGCAGGTTAGTTCATATATATTTCTTCTGATTTCATTTGTCTCAATCGTCTTGAAGCAGCAGCCTCTTTTTCTGATTCATTACCATGTTGACTGTTTTGTGCAGAAAATCTTTGCCTTGTATTATTCTAAACTCTTGCATTGAAATGCATGCAAAATGTGCCTACATATCTCTCTTCATGCCCAGACTTCATTTGATTACTCATTCTTCTCCATTTTTTCAGGCTCATCAGCGAACTTCGTCATCGGACTCAGCAGAAATGACAGTAGCATTATTCTCTATACAACTTTGAATGTAAAGGCTTAAGAGCTCAAAAGCAAACTTAGAGTTGTGCTCTAGTGTTGCATTGTGGAGTGGAACCTGAGAAGGTAAGGTAGCCAACTTAAGGATTAGCTTTTAACATTTAGATTTATCCAATTGTTGCAAGGGAAAAGAGCCCATGGGTCTACTTGAACAAAAGGTACCATCAACATCTTGGTCACATGGGTAAACTTGAACAAATAGTACCGTCTACATCTTGGCCACTGGTAGGCGCAGCGACATCAAAGCTCATTGGAACAGCATTGTGGAGTTCGTTCTCCCACCCGTTCGGTATCTGCAAAAGCTATATTCATGTCATATCACAGAGTGAGTACAGGAAGAACAAAAACGTTCGGTCGTTTTTATGGGCAAGTTGATCTGAATTAAGCACATAAAACCATCATGTTTACCCAAAACTAACTCAAAATATGGTGTGCAAGCGTTTTTTTAGAGAGATCATTCCGAGCCTAGGTGAATTATTATACATCAGGCCAAACAGATCATTGACCAAAAATGCAGTAAGAAAGTTAATTAAAGACAGTCTGAAGTAATAGCAGTGCAAGCAAGATAATTTAGCTCTGATTCTTGAAGAAAACCTGAACAGGCTCCTTGAATCCACCAACGAGTGAAGTTAGCTGGGAATTTATCGTTCTTCGTAGCAGGTCCGGAGAGCTCGCCATGTTTGGAAGACAAGGTGGAATAAGTCCTAGATGAGACGGATGTTGCGGGAGGTAAGGCATAGGCATATCAGGAGGAAAACTAAATAAGGATGGACCAGCCTTTGATTGAATGATCTGTGCGGAGAAAGGGAAAGAAAGAATTGATTATGACTCTGAATCAAGAAAGCACAAACTGTTTCATACAGCATTAGATTTCAGTAGTTTGCTTACTTCTTTTGTGAGGAGCTCTTCGATGTTAAAATCCAGCCTGGGATTAACTGTTGCAAGTTTCATTGACAAGAACTGCATAACAAGATTGTTGAAGATATCAATTGAATTAGAATTGATGGGACAGAATCTCTTATGTTGAGCTGGGCAGCTTGTAAAGAACCTATCGGTGTTCTATCCTTTTTCGTTACCTCGACTTGTCGTTGCAACGACTGTACATAGTTAATGATTTCATCAAGCATTACAGCTTTGCCAGTGACCTGAGAGAACCCAGTGGTAGCTTAGCGACAAGTACACGAAATGAACGGTTCACAGGTTAAGACTCACAAACCTTACTACACCCGGGGACGAGGTCCTGAAGGAGTCTCATTCTTTCACTTATCTTCTCTCTTCTTACCTATTAAGACAGACACAGTTCATCACTTCCACAAAATCCCTTTCCAAGCTTGGTTTTAGTTAACTAAGAACAAAAGTGAACTGCAAATCCTAACCCTTTCAGCAAGACTATGGCTGTTTGTTGCCTGTCCTCTTCGAGCTCGAACATGAATATATTCTTCTTTAGGAGTATCCGATGGCTGAGAATCCTGTTTTCCTTGCTTTTCAGCAGGATTATTCGTAGTAGAACTCGGGTTTTGTGTTCCCTTCTGCTGATTCGATGCGCCATTCTTGGCAGTTCCGTTAACTTGTTGGGGAGCTTCTTTAACTTGTCCAAGTTCTATATTCTAACCAAATCAAGCATTCAAGTCTATGAACATCACAAAGAACATAACATGATAGAAAAGGCAGTATAATAGTTTACCTGTTCATCCCTTTTCCTTTTCTTTAAGCATAGTTCATCCATAGATGGTTCTGTGATAGTACCTTCCAACACGCATCGTTCGCCATGACCGCCACTGAACCCGGCCTCATCGGATTCTTTACCTCTGGCTTGAGACATTTCACTTTCTTTCTCATTCTTAGATGGACTCTTTTCTTTAGCCTCAAGCTCCATGGGCAAAGAACCATCCGTGGAGGCTCCATTTCTGGACATAACTTCTTGTCTAGAATGAATGCCAATGGAGTTTGAAATATCGAAAGGACCGACAGGCGGCGAAGCCCCGAAAACTCTGCTGTTGAAGCAGGAGAACCTTGCTGCACGTTCTATGAACGCTGAATCAGCTGGAAGTTGAGATAAATTAGCTGGAAATCCATGAACATTTCCTGAGAAAACTCCTTTCATCCATGGATTTTGTTGGCTCCAATCCACACCATTAGATCTCAAAGAATTCAGACCTTCTCCAGTAACTATGCTGTTTTGTTCATTAAAACTGCTGCAGAATCCCGAGTTCATAAGGGTTGGAGTGAATAAGTTAGACATTGAAGTTGAAGGACAAGAAGAAACACTTAGATCCTCATTGCTAACAGCACCAGCAAATTGCCAGCCGGAGGTGATACTCATAGGATCACTCCTCCTGCTCTCATCTTCAAATTCATCCTTCCCGTTCATCTTATCACAAAAAACAAAAGCCCTCACTCACTTTCCCTCATGTTCTTCCCAATAAGAATCAAGCATCTGCAGAGAAAGTCAAAGTAGATTTCAAAATCATCCAATTCCCAGACCCCAAAAGAATTCATTCAGAACAGAACGACCCAGTTCAAGTATAAACCCATGAAAGGGTAATTCAAAATCAGCACAAAGAACAGTGAGTAGGTACAGTAAGTTGAAAACCCTAGTCAGAGAAAGAGGAAAACAAGGTCGAAACAGAGTAAAAAATGGCAGAGAAGACATACCCATTTCCATTTCCTGATTCCATTCACTTTCCACATACGTTTAGACGAAATCAGAGGTTGAATTTAGAGCCCCCACCTTCATTTTCCCTCTCTGTTGGCAGTCTCCTCTGCAAAAACACTGCCACACCCAGAAACTCAGACGAAATGCAGAGCCTAACCTTGTAATGGGAAGAGAGAGAAAATGAAGAAGAAGAAGAAGAAGAAGAGAGAAGGGGGGAAAGGGAAAAACAAAGATGAAAGCGAAGGGGTTGGTGGATTTATACCCAGGCTTACATGAAAACGAGTGTCCTTGATGATTAACCACCGCTACTTCCGAAGCAAAAATAATTAAAGGCAAAAGGAGGCAAAGCAAACCCTTCTCTAACAAAGCTTTTTCTTCATTCATAATTCTTTATGATCAACTTTAATACTTCATTAATTAGTTTAATTAATCTGGCATTGGCATTGCCATTAGTTTAAGCTTATAATTATTCCTGTGTGTTGAGCTAGCAACTGACATTGCCAACTCTCATTTGGGATTTCTTCCTATTTGTTTAATTAATGGGTTCTTGAAACAAGAGCTGTGTAAGATCTTTAATGGAGGGAGCCCGGAGGGGGTTTGTTTGGTCAAGAACCCAATGCAAAATCTTAACTCCTTTTCACACTCTATTATCTCTTCTTTTTTTTTTTTTTCTTTTTTTTTCTTTTTTTCTTCCTTTCTCGTTGTAGCTACCCAAGCTCACCGCTAACAAATTTTGTCCTCTTTAAGCTTTTCTTTTCGAGTTTCTCTTCAAAGCTTTAAAACACATCTGTTAAAAAAAAAAAAAAAAATCACATTTATAAGAGGCGTTTCGTTCTTCTTTCCAACTAATATCAGAAGTGAAATTCTCACAATAAACTTCTGGGTTGGGTATCAAAGTTGACGATTCATCTAACTGAGTTATTAACATAAGAGGCGTTTCGTTCTTCTTTCCAACTAATATCAGAAGTGAAATTCTCACAATAAACTTCTGGGTTGAGTATCAAAGTTAATGATTCATCTAATTGAGTCATTGACGAGCAACAATATAATTATTTCTATATTATAATTTGTTGGAGCCATTCAAGAGCTATAATTTGTTGGAGGCAGGCTATTATTATTTTTCTTGGGTCAAAATTAACTACCATTTTTCTAGTTATTGCATTGATTTCATTACTTTCTCAATTATTAGAAGATAAATATAAATCTTTCAATTTTATTCTCCTTGTTTTATTTTTTTAAAAATTAATAAAGATTAATTAAAATTACCTTTAATTTTTTTAGAGTTTTAATAATATCTCTAATTTATTTTTAAAAAAATATAAAAGATACTTGCAAACTATTACTATTTTATTTCAAAAACATCTTATAACTTTAATTTTTTAAAATTTATCTTTACATTAGTATTATTTAAAAAAAAAATACTTTACCTTTATTAAAAAAAAATAAAAAAAATTCTTACGCCACTACATTTTGTAAATTATTTACAAATATTTTAATTTTATTTTTGAAAATTTTAATACTAAGGGTAAATGTACTTTTTTATTTTTTAAAAAAATTTAAAATTTAAATGGAAATTTAAAAAAAAAAAATGTATTTTTGAAGTTTTTTTTTTTTTTTTTTATTGAAAATGAAGTGTATTAATAATTTTTTTTTAAATGTAGTGAGGATTATAATAACAACTTTTTTAAAAATATAAACATTAAATGGAGTGGAGATGTAAGACCCTATTTTAATAAATACGTGTATATATATGTATGTATATATATATATATATATATATATATATATATATTATTTTTTCTTAAAATATCTAACCGTCTTTGAAAAAAACAACTAATAAACAATTTCAATGAGGGCACGTACGTGCATGTGGATAAAATATTATTAATTTCTTTTTTTTAATAATATTTATATAATTATAATTTTCCTTTTACCTCCACAGAAAGCCGCTCGTACCTAAATTCTATATATATAATAAAATAAAATAAATAAAAACCCTTTTAATTCTTTATTTTTTTTTTAAGTAATTATAAATAAACTTCTTTTATTTTATTTATAAAGAGTATTGTCGTATGGTTAATCATTTTTCAACCAATATTCCATATAACTCTATAATTCAATTTTTAAAAAATTAATAATTGGTTCAATTTATGGAATCGGTATTTGTCTGGGTCGGTTCAACTCAACTTATTTTTTAAAAAATTAAGAATATTTGACATCTATTACCGATGTTAATGACACATTTTGACTTTGAAATATCGTAGATGAGTAAAAAAAATTAGTTAAAAAGAAAGAACAACCCGACCTTATTCAACTTGAAAATAGAGGGTTAGATTGGGCTGTGAACTTTATCCGGATTACTCGAATCACCAACCCAACCTAATCCATGTGCACCCCTAATAATGAATTAAATTCCGATTAAATCAATAGTTTATTGTTTTTTAATATTTTAAAAATTTATTTTTTAATAAAAAAAAATAAATCCATAAACTACTTACATTTATTAATTATTAATAGGTGAGAAACCATGTCATGTTTGTCAAATATTAGTTAATGCAGCTCAATTAAAAAATAATTAATTAAATGTATAATTAATTTATTTATGTATAATAATCTCTAATCTAATTAATTTAAAATTATAATTAATGGAGAAAAAAATTAATTAAATCTAAGATTTGTCAGAATACCCTAATCAGCGGAACATTAATTTAACATTCATAAGGATCTACAACATTGATGCTTTCAACCCCAAATTTTTTATTTTACTTCCTAATTTCTTACTATTTTATTGGACATTTTTATTTTAATATTCACATTCATTTTTTAAAAATAATAATACGACGTACTAATTGAACTATCAGACAACGACTCGACATAAAAATGTATGGTTACATGACACGAGAGAGGAGATTGGGTCGGTAAAATAAGGGAGAACAGGCAACAAAACCCGAGTTCGGATATATTTTGTTCACATTGGATTTTTTAGTATACTAGTAATATACGGACGAAATTATTTTAGATGTTCCTAAATTTCTCCATACTCAGAGTCGCTATTAACCTATACGGAATATAACTCTTAAAAGAAAACTTCATCTCTAGTATAAATGTCGAATTTAAAATATTCTTTTTTCTTCAAAATACAATCATAGTCTTACGTGTTTAAATACAAAATAGTTTAAAATTGATGAAAGGTAAAACAACATATTATAATCTAAGACTGGGAATTTAAACATGAGTTTACCCTATGCAGGTGTCACAGTCTTTGATCACGATGCCGCCGTCCTCCGTATATGTGCACATTGCCTTTACCTGAAAAATGATGTGGCACACGATCTGAGTATTTCGAAGAATAGGTGGCCCCACTATAGGGGGTCATGCAAATGCAAACACATGCAATCATGCTCTTGAGACCTTTCTCTGTTCTATAGGGGTGACCTCAAATCTCGAACTTATATGGATGTGGAGTACTTCCCTACACACATGCGAGTATGAATCTCCAGGGGGCTCGCACACCCCCTAGATTCTCTTTGGTCAAGCTAATATGTAGCCACGTTTGGAGGTCAGTGGAACCCCTTGGTGTCATGCTCCCAATGAACACCCTCATCGTCGTACTATGCTCGTCCGCACTCATCGTGAGGTGCCTCTAATTTCTATTTTATCATCTCTTCTGACACAACCCTCTAGTCTCATCTCTTTGTTACGTTAAGTAATACGTGTTCGGTGGATATTTATACGAATATCATTTTCATGCTCTTAGACTTGTGTCCTATGTCGGTCTATCGATATGATATAATGTGACACTCATCATCATATAGCACGCTTAATATGAAAAATATAAACATATTAAGACAAACGTCATGCAATCATTATACTCATCATATTGCCATAAAGCGCATCAAGCATATCAAGAACGTCATTCGTCAAAATATATATATATTACGTGCATCATAGCTCATACATCATCATATACTCATACATCATCATAAGCTCATACATTTTCATATATTCATATATCATCATATGCTAGTACACGACATCCTACGATACAACTCATACATCATCATAAATTGTAACGCATTCAATTTCTAGTTCATCCTATAGTAAGGTCACTTACTTGGTTGGTCTTAGTCGAAGTTTTTCCTAATTATGCTAAACGTAACCTCTCATTCTTAAAGAGCTACTCCAAAGGTCGTTGGGTTTGTTTTCTATCACCCCGTTTGTTATCTTTCATTAGTATTTGACAATTCAATTAATAATTAATTAATTAATGTGAAATACAACCCTAAAATGACCTCAATTACCTTAATCGGGGTTGAAAACAGGTCCGAGCGGATCGAAATAGTGGAAACGAGGCCAAAATTGAGCCTCATGAGGAAGGCGCGAGCCGTTTAAGCTGATCCGGGATTGCCTGCATCCTTGGGTTCCACGTGGCATAAGCAGAGCGTGACACGTCGTGCAGGTGGCGTCGAGTCGAGGCGCAGGTTGAAATCTGGTTCGGGTCACGTCTGCAGGCCGAATTTTGGGCTTCGAATCACGGGCTGGGCCGTGGGTTAGCAGGCTAGAATGTAGGCTAGAATGTGGGCCTCAGTTGTAGGCTGGACTTGGTTTTGGGTTCTCGAGTCGCAGAGGCGTTGGGCTGGGCTTCCGGCGTGGGCTACTGCAGGTTGGGCTGGCCGAGGCACGCGTTGCCTGCGGTGATGTGGACTGGCTGAGGTCGATGGGTTCACAGGTTGGGTCTGACCCGAATCCGGATCTGTCCGATCCTTTCTCCTTTCACCCGAAAAGTCGACGTTCAGCTTCCGTTTCTCTCTCTCTTCTCCTAACGTCCTTCCGACAAGTAATTTTTTTAACATTTATTTTTGTACCTAAAAAATGTATTTAAATTTTAAAAAAAATTATGAGTAAACTCTACTAAAATTGATTTTTTTAATCTCTCTAATTTTGTTTTAATAAATTTTAAAAAATGACTAATAAATCAATATCATTGTTATAATAATTGAAATTTTTAAAAATTCATTACATAAAAAATACCGTTCTTAAAAATAAAATGTTGCATCAATTTTTTTTTTTGTTGTTAGTAATTAAAATATATTTTTCACCGTTATATTTTAGAACAGGTTTAGTTTTAGTTAATGTATTTTTAATAAATCTTAATTTTAAATTTAAGATTTATTAAAATTACAAAAATAAATTGGATTAGAGCTTTTAAATTGAGATTTTTTTTTTTTAATTTGCCGAAAAAAAGATGCCAAAATGTTGACTTAATGAAGGATTTTTCTTATGCAGCTTTCCATTACTCTTATTAAAATATATTTTATGTCAAGGATTTTTCTTTTTCACTTTTAAAGTACCTTAAAAGAAAAAAATGATGATAACATAATTGTTTAAAAATATTCATAAGTGACGGTCTAAAATGCATGGACTAATGGGATCTAAATTCATATTTTTGCCTTGATCTCTAACTTCATTTCGAGTTCATTTCGAGTGAATTTGGATGATAGTGCTTCTCTACCAATCCATTCCTCAATTTTGTTAGAGTTAAATAATAATAGGAGTAAGCAAAATCGACCCTTTTCATCAAATTCTAAATAAATTTAGATTAAAAGAAGTGGTAAAAGAAAAAAAAAATAGAAATTCACCATTTCATAACTAATAAAAATAATAATAATAATAATAAATAATAAATAAAAATAAAATAAAAAATTTAATAATTCAATGGCTCATTAAAAATGTAAAATAACTCTAAAAGTTTTTCTTGTTCTTTCAAATTGTAAGGGGCGATGTTGTCGGGCACTGGAGCTTGGGCAGTAAGTGGCCAGCTCATCCAATCAACCCCTAATACAATTTATCAAAATTTACACCACTATAAAAGGGCTATCACAACCCATTTTTTTTATATTCAAAGGTTTCCTTTCTCTGATTCTCTGATTCTCAATGGGATCAACACCACAGCATGTTGCCATCGACATGAATCAATTCTCTTCTACCCAGGGAGCCTCAGATGGGTTACCCAGGGAGCCTCAGGCTCGCAACAATCTTGGGAAGATAATTTTTGGGCTTGCTTTCCAGGCAGCTCTGGCTCTGTTCATCAGCACACCCACCTCATTTCCTCCACTTTTGATAAATCTCTTTGCAGCGGCTATGTTGATTAGCTTTACACTTTCACTTGCTGCGCTTTTTCTTCAAACTTCCTTCCCAAGAATCTCGCTTTTGTTCGGCAAGATCGGTGCTATGCTAGCTGCTGTTGGTGCGTGCATCATAGCTAGTCTTCTTCTGAAGCATCAGAATTTTAGTTGGATTCCTTGGCTGGCATGCGGCTTCGCCTTCATGGCCTTCGTTCTATCATTCAAGTGAACTTCACAAAACCAGGGTTTTTGTTCTGTAGCAGTCTCTGATACTCATCCGGCCCCAAACCGGATGCCATCAGATCATGTGTTCTTGAGCTTGTTCGTTAAGACAGGCTCTGGCAGCTGTGTAGTAAGGAGTCATTAGATCTAAGAAATAAAGATGGCAGCATCAACAAAGATAGGTCCAGGAAACACATATAGCAGTCACTCTAAATAGAACTATTGGCTGTATACCTACTAGCCAAGTGCCTCTTCACCAGTTTATACATTTTTAGCTTAAACAAGCTCAATCATAATGGGCATATGCTCATTTTTTTTTTTCAAGGGTTAGAAGGTTCGGATCTTCATACCTTAGTTTGTCTGTTATAATTTACAGATTTATTAAACTATGTATTCTTAAATCTAGATTGAATATCTTATGAGATATGAGATATAAGAAAAAGATAAGAACATTTGTTAGAAATTCGAATTATTCTACAAAAAAAAGATTAATCATGTCGAGCTTGAACACTTGTTGGAGATTCAAATCATTCCACAAAAAAAATTGATCATGTCGAACTTGAATTATTCTAAATGTGCAACTTCAACTATATAGAATTGCAAAGAAGCACAAAAATAACAAAAATAACCTGTTTTGTTTTATACAAGCCTCACACGGAAAATCTTTAACCTTCATTTCAAAAGTTATATCTTTCCTACTTTATCACCATAATTAACAACTTTGTAAATTCCATCTTAAAGTAAATAAAAACCTTAAAATACATTAAAAAAATACAAAATTTGTAACCATCCAAGAATAAATAGAGTTTGATTCTTCCTTAACTAGCATGAATGGCAACATCTTGTGATAATTTGAACAACATTTTCTCCACATCTTTACTAAAATTTATCTTTATATGATTGTTGTCTTAGTTGGTAGAATTTCATGCTCCTAGAACAGTCAAATTTACTTGGAAAACCTTAATCGATCAACCATTATTCTAGAGGGAGATGTTTATACCCCAAAGCAGCCTTAACTCCCTAGCAGAACAATTTGAATCTGTTCCAAACAACAACAGAGAATTCACAAGAGTCGTAAACTACTTTATAACACTTAAGAAGAGTTCAAAATAGCATAAACCAAACTTTCCTCGTTAAAACTTACCAAAACGGACAACAATCCTTGCTGAAAAGTGTTCAAATGAGTCCGTTATCCATCCAATACTACAAATATAAAAGTTATAAAGGTTAGAATCTAAGCCACAACACTTGGAAGAGTTCGAAAGGAGTTTAGAGCGTTCTTACTCACTGAATCTTACCGAAAAAGACCCGTAGATTTGGAGTCGTTAGGGAGGGGGAAATGTAAATCAAAGGTCCATTGAGCATAGGTCATAACCGAAAATCAAGGAAAGAGAGAAATAACCGTTGAAAAACGCTGGAATCGTGAGGATGTTCAGACTTGAGTCCGCTCCGGCGAGTGGCGCCTGCAGAACGGGTCACCAGCCATTGCAGTGGTAGCAAGTCATCAATGCAGCTATTGAAGAAGACGCCGGTGGAAGTTTTCGTCACGTGCAGGTGTTCCCGGAAGGATCGATGCTCTGATCAAGATTGCTGGAAGGTTGAAGGAGAAGAAGCCAAAGGAGTGACTGACCAAACTACCCATTTGCCTTCAATGATTATATATGATAAGGGTGTTATCTGATTGGGTCTGAGTTCAACCAATTTTTTAAGGACGAAATCGATAAAATTACATCCAAATTACAGAGAAAAATTTAGATTATTATTTAATTTGAACTAAAGATTGAGTAAGCCACCTAGGTTCATGACATCCTAACTTAACACCTTCCCATGGTCTCCTAATTCTGTTCTAGGACATCTAGTTCTAATCTTAGTTCCTTGGGGCTTGCCCCTTGGGCTTTACTCGTTCATCGTCTTTTTATTTGATACTTAAAGGTTCTTTGTGCCGAGCTGATATGATCGGTATCTCTCGAGACGCTACCTCTGCATGGCTAGGGGTGTGCTGAGTGTCACAATCGTACTTTTGATGGCAGCGGACTTGTGATTGTGCAGCACTCACTTTCCAACGACAAGTGAGTTAAGTCAATTCGTTCTTGTGTCGTCTACGACTAAACGACGTATGCTCGAGCCTCTGGCCTCGGTTTTAAGAGAAGGTTTTAGAAAACAAGGCCAGAGAGAGATTTTCGAAAGAGAGATTTTTGAAAGAGACGTTATATAAGCAAGCAAGAGAGAAATAACAACTACTCACAATATATAACCTTGGGTAGGGAGAAGTTGACAACTAGTCGTATCCCCCTATAGTACATTTTGAGGCATTTCATGTATGACAGACCTAAACGTGATATTTGTGAAACGTCATACTTCCTAGATATTTGTGAATAATTTGGTGTACTGCATGATGTTGTCCCGCATATTTGGCCAAAAGTACCCTTTTTTATTAAGGCATATGTTATTTGCCACCAAGGGTGTCTGGTCCATAAAGTATCGTGACATTTCTAAATGAGCTTCTTCCTCAATTCTCCCGTTCTTGGGACATATAATATGTTTCCTCTAGTCATTAGAAGGTCTCCCTCAACCCAAAACTGTCGTGTCTTTCCAGCTTTAGCTAGTTCGACGACGGCTTTGACCGATGGGTCTTTATGTAAATGTTCATTGATGATGTCGCGCATCAATCCATTGATCTTACTTGAGTGAATATGGGGCTATTATGCACAGGGCCGCATGTTTGCCCTTTCGACTTAGCGCATCAGCTGCTTGATTACTCTTTCCTGTCTTGTGTTCAAATTTGAAGTTGAATTCAGCCAACGACTCCTGCCACCGGGCTTGTTTTGTCGTCAATTTTGGTTGATCGAAGAAGTGGCAAATGGCGCTGTTATCTATCTTCACTACGAATTGTGATCCCAAGAGATACTGTCTCCAGACTCGTAGGCAATGGACCACAACCATCATTTCTTTTTCAGAGATAGAGCATCTCATTTCAGTATCGTTGAGTTTTCGACTTTCATAAGCGATGGGGTGACCTTCTTGAATAAGGATACTGCCTAGGACAAAGTCGGAAACATCTGTCTCTATTTCAAATGACTTTGTAATATCTACTAACCCGAGAATAGGACCCCTCGTCATCGTTGCCTTCAGATCGTCAAAGGTCATTTGACATTTAATTAACCACGACAAAGGTTGGTCTTTCTTCAGGAGCTTTATTAATGGGGCGGCTTGTTGTGAAAACCCTTCGACGAACCACCTATAGTAGTTTGTCAATCCTAGGAAGGATCGCACATCGGATACGGAAGTAGGGATTTTTCACTCTTGGATAGCTTTTATCTTATCGCTATTCATACCGACCTGTCCACAACTGATGACATGTCCAAGGAAGTTGATACGTGTTTATGTGAAGGCACATTTTTCTTTCTTGACGTACAATTGATTCTGCCGCAGCTTGTCAAACACTAGCTTCAGGTGCACCTTGTGTTCCTCTAGGGTTGTGCTATATACAATTATGTCGTCGAGGTATACTACGACGAACTGATCCAAGTATTCGTGGAAAACCTGATTCATTAACGTGCAAAACGTAGTTGGGGCGTTTGTCAAGCTTAAGGGCATTACCAGGAACTCAAAGGCCCCATATCTTGTTACACACATCGTTTTGGGCTCGTCCCCTTCGGCGATACGTACTTGGTAGTACCCTGATCGTAAGTCCAACTTCGTGAAATATTTGGCCCCGTGAAGTTGGTCGAACAAGTCGAATATTATCGGCAGTGGGTATTTGTTGCGTACCGTCACCTTGTTTAAGGATCTATAATCTATGCAGAGACGCAACATCCCACCCTTCTTTTTCTGAAATAGTACGGGGGCTTCGTAAGACGCCTTTGCCGGGCGGATGAATCCTGTCGTCAACAACTCATCTAATTGTTTCCTCAATTCGGCTAGCTCAGGGGGAGCCATCCGGTATGCGTTCTTCGCTGGGGGTTTAACCCCGGGGAGGAGTTCAATTTCGTGATCAATGCCTCGACGGGGTGGTAATGTTTGTGGTAAGCTCTCTGACATTATGTAGCATAACTGTCTAGTACCTCCTTGATTTTGCTTGGAATAGTTTCCTCAGTGGTCACTTCTTTCATCAGTGGTATAGCCATAAAATGTAGGTTCTTCTCGTGTGAGTCCTCTTTTCAATTGTATGGTCGAGATCATTCTAAGATTACTTGGTTGCTTGATGCTTGCAGGTATTACTGTGGGGTTGCGGTCGGTGATCACCAAGTATTTCGCCAGTGGCATTGGGATAACTTTGTGTTCTAGGAGGAAATCCATCCCAAGTACCAGTTGAAGTCGTCCATGCGAACCACGACAAGGTCCAACTCTCTTGTCCAAGCCCCTAATTTGAAGGGGACTCTTTTGGAAACTCCCACAATAGGCAAGGCCTCGGAGTTGACAGGTTTCATTTTTTCGGGGTCCTTTTCTATGGTGAGTCCCAATCTTCGTGCTTCTTGATCGGCGATGAAGTTGTGGGTGTCTATCAAGGTGCTCTTGCTTGGTCGAGAGTTTATTGTCGCATCTACGAACATGAGCTCTTTCTCTATTATCTTCTTTGGGTCGACCTTCCGTTGGAGGATTTTCAAGAATTTGAGCGCGCCCATTCGGGGGGTTGTCTTGATCTTCCTTCTTGTCTGGCATCGTCCCGACTCCTATGTCGTTGCTCTCTTGAATGGACACTTGGAGTGCACTGAAAGAGGCCCCATGAGGACAGTAGGGCAGTCTGTGGGGGCCTTTACACAACAGGCATTGTAAAGGTGTTGTCAGGTGGTTCTTTTGATGGTAAGGTCCTCGAGATGTCCCTGCTTGGTTATTCTAAGGAGGTCTATCTGTTCACCCGTTTGGTCTGTCGTTACTTCCGTTTGGCCTATTGGGGCTTCCATTTCGATGACCTGGTGGTTTGGTCTGCCGCCTACGAAACCGCACTCGCCGGCCGCCGGTCGACACGTGGAGGTCGGAGAGTTTACTCTCTTTTTTTTTTCTGCAATCCATAACACAGCCGTTTTTCCGATCCGTTATTTTCCGACTTTCATATCTTTTGATTCAGAATTCGAATTGATATGGTTTATTCGGCAAGGTTCTAGATCGTGTTCCAGACTACGTCCTAATATTTTTTCATAATTTTTGCTTAACTACTAGACGAGTTACGTGTGTTGGAAGTTTGCTTACCGTTCTCAGATTTTCGACTCCAGTCCCGTTTTTCGGTCGAGTTTCTTCACGGATCTACAAGAACAACCACCTATTTGAACATACAGTATGGTTAGGTCTAGAATCATTAAGGAGAATCTTAGATTTGAAGAAGATTAATCGAGAACCTACCTTGCGAACTCTCGGATCTTGGTGTAGCATCGGCCTATCAGTCCTTTTCGGGTGTATAGGTAACGTCTAAAGGTGGATTCCGACGCGGCGGCTTCTCTATCTCCTCTCACTTTTCTCTCCCTAACCTTCCTTCTGCGATAATATGATTGGGGTCGTTTGACTAGCTGGAGGGACAAAATGACATTTTTGCCCCTATATTGATTTTTTTTTTGTTTTTTTTTTGAAGCGTTACAATAATTGAGATTTTTAATTTTTTTTATTATTATTTTCAAATTGCAATTGGGTGAGCAAGAGATGCCAAAACGCTGACTCAGAAAAGGTGCCCAAGTACACTCTTTCTCCTACTTCATAATCAATCAAATTTACTAGTGTTATTATGCAATTCACGTAAAAAAAATAATATTATAAATAAGTGCTAATGGTAGGATGAACACGACTCTCCACAATGGTATGATATTGTCCACTTTGAGCGTAAGCTCTCATTCCAATGGAGAGTGATTCCCTAAATTAACCGATGTGGGACTTTCATCATCCAACACCTCCCCTCGAACAAAGCACGCCTCCCCACGCCTCCCCTTAATCGAGGCTCAACTCCTTTGGAGTCTTAGTCATTTTTGACTGCCTTCGTACCTTCGAGGAGGCTTGACTCCTTTTGGAGTCCTTTGTTCGACATTTAAGAATTTGTCAATCTATTGACACGGCTAAGTTTAGGGCATGGCTCTGATACCATGTTAGACGAACACGACTCTCCACAATGGTATGATATTGTCCACTTTGAGCGTAAGCTCTCATGGCTTTGCTTTGGGCTTCCCCAAAAGGCCTCATTCCAATGGAGAGTGTATTCTTAGATTATAAACTCATGATCATTCCCTAAATTAACCGATGTGGGACTTTCATCATCCAACACTATGCACCGTGGATCTATCCCACTTTTCATCAAAATTGGAATAAATTTAGATTAAAAAAAAAAACTAATAATTCAATGGCTGATTAAAAATGTGAAATAACTCTAAAATTTTTATCTTAAAGCCACTAAATTAAAATTAAAATTAAAATTAGCCTTTTTATTTTTCCTTTCAAATTGGAATGTGGGTGGTGTTGACCGAGAGTAACTTGGAAAAGTGATCTTGGACTGGCCAACTCATCAACCCCTTCTACAATTTGTCCAAACTTGTCAATGGGATCAACTCCACACCATGATTCCATCCACGTGTCAATTCTTTCCCATCCAGGGAGCCTCCGATGGCTTAACACCTACCACCGCCATGTCCAGGCAAGTGAGCTTGGGGCAGTGAGTTGATTTACCTTAATTTAGTTTTTTTTTTTTTTTTCCCTTTAAAAATTACAATGGGCCCAGATGAAGCAAGTGAGCTTGGGGCGGTGAGTATGCCAGCTCATCCAATCAACCCCTAATACAATTTGTCAAAATTTACACAACTATAAAAGGGCTATCATAACCCATTTTTTTTATATTCAGAGGTTTCCTTTCTCTGATTCTCTGATTCTCAATGGGATCAACACCACAGCATGTTTCCATCGACATGAATCAATTCTCTTCTACCCAGGGAGCCTCAGATGGGTTACCCAGGGAGCCTCAGGCTCGCAATAATCTTGGGAAGATAGTTTTTGGGCTTACTTTCCAGGCAGTGCTGGCTCTGTTCATCAGCACACCCACCTCATTTCCTCCACTTTTGATAAATCTCTTTGCAGCGGCTATGTTGATTAGCTTGGCACTTTCACTTGCTGCGCTTTTTCTTCAAACTGCCTTCCCAAGAATCGCGCTTTCGTTCGGCAAGATCGGTGCTATGCTTTCTGCTGTTGGTGCGTGCATCATGGCTAGTCTTCTTCTAAAGCATCAGAATTTCAGTTGGATTCCTTGGCTGGCATGCGGCTTCGCCTTGATGGCCTTCATTCTATCATTCAAGTGAACTTACACAAAAGCTGGGTTTTTGTTCTGTAGCCAGTCTCTGATACTCATCCGGCTCCAAACTGGATGCCATCAGATCATGGGTTCTTGAGCTTGTTCGTTAAGAAAGGCTCTGGCAGTTGTGTAGTAAGGAGTCATTAGATCTAAGAAATAAAGATGGCAGCATCAACAAAGATAGGTTCAGGAACCACATATAGCTGAAGTGGCTCTTCACCAGTTTTTACATTTTTAGCCTAAACAAGCTCAATCATAATCGGCATATACTCATGTACTCATTTTTTTGAAGTGGCTCTTCATAAGTTCGTTTGTTTGTTATAATTTGGAGATTTATTAGACATGTCTTCTTTGAGTTTAGATTGAATATCACAAGATAAAGAACATTAGTTGGAGATTAGAATCACTCCACAAGCAACATTGATCATATCGAGCTTAAATGATTCTAAACATGTCACCTAAACTATATAGAATTAAAAAGAGTTCAAAAGAGCATAAACAAAACTTTACCACACTTAAAAAGAGTTCAAAAGAGCATAAACAAAACTTTACCACACTTAAAAAGAGTTCAAAAGAGCATAAACAAAACTTTCCTCATTAAAACTTACCAGAACAGACAACAATCCTTGCTGAAAAGTGTTCAAATGAGTCTGTTATCCATCCAATATTACAAATATAAAAGTTATAAAGGTTAGAATCTAAGCCACGACACTTGGAAGAGTTGGAAAGGAGTTTAGAGCGTTCTTACTCACTGAATCTTACCGAAAAAGACCCGTAGATTTGAAGCCGTTAGGGAGGGGATAATGTAAATCAAAGGTCCATTGAGCATAGATCGTTACTGAAAATCAACGAAAGAGAGAAATAACCGTTGAAAATGGCCGGAATCGCGAGGATGTTCAGACTTGAGTCCGCTCCGGCGAGTGGCGCCTGCAGAACGGGTCACCAGCCATTGCAGGGGTAGCAAGTCATGAATGCGGCTATTGAAGAAGACGCCGGTGGAAGTTGTCATCACGTGCAGGTGTTGCCGGAAGGATCGATGCTCTGATCAAAATTGCTGGAAGGTTGAAGGAGAAGAAGCCAAAGGAGTGACTGACCAAACTACCCATTTGCCTTCAATGATTATCTATAATAAGCGTGTTATCTGATTGGGCCTCACTTCAACCAATTATTTCCATTATCAAAATTTTCAATTCACCACTTAATTTTAATTTACAATTTACAATTTTTACTTTTTAAAATTATATTTTTTAAGAGTAGTTGGCCGAATAAATAATAATAAAATTAAACAAAAATAGAATATATATATATATAATGGTAGGGTAAACAACTAAACTTAGTTCCTAAATTTGAAGGACTAAATTGTAAATTAAATCGAGCATTTAAACCTCTGATATCTTGCTTGAGTTAGGTTCGGGTTGACCTTAAATCTGAAGAACTAAATTTATAAATTTAATCAAGCATTTAAACTTGTGATTTTTGTTCGAGAGTATATATTTCATATAGTTGAGTTATGTTCAAGTTGACCCTAGATCTAAATAACTAAACTTATAAATTGAATCGAGCATTTAAACCTCTAATCTCCTGTCCGAGAGTATTTTTATCTAGTTGAGTTATGTTCGGATTGACCCTAAATCTAAACGACTAAACTTATAACTTGAATCGAGCATTTAAACCTCTAATCATTGATAAGAGAGAGTTAGGTTCGAATAGACCTTAAATTCAAACAAACTCAACTCAGTTAATCGTGTTAGTATTTTTTTTTTCCTTACGAATTTACGCATAAATATTTAAATATTATTCAAATCCCAATTTTGGTTAACTTCAATGTCAGACTTGTTGATCTGCAGTTGTATTTTCACAAAGGCCACAAAAAAGTAACTCAGCCTTTGGAGCTTTGGCTTCACGTGTTCATCTTTATGGCTCGCAATCATTCACTTCTCAACAGTAAATCAAGCTATCGTGCGCCAATCCAGGCCAGAATCAACGATGCATCCTTGATCGGTTCCTTTGAGCCTGGCTGAATGCTGATGTATACTCTCGCGGTTCACGTTAGCGATTTTGACTCGCCAATGGTTGATTCTGACGGCTGAAATGGAAACCGATGGTTGTTAAGTTCTGCTGAGAGATCTTCGTTTTTTTTGTCTATCAGACTGACAACACACGACGAATCCGGCTTGTTCTTCAAGGTATGTTGCTTTTTCTCCCGAAAATTTTGGTTTCTCATTCGATTTGGGCGTAATTTTGTATCTGCTGGATTTTGTTCTCAATGCAGTACTCCTTTTGTTTCCACTGGATTGATTCTCTTAGGCTATTTGGTTGATTGCATTAGATTTTGTTCCTCAATTAGGTTTTCGGTCTTGCTTGCTATGACTTTCGTGTTTTCGAATCGTTTCTGGAATTACAGGTCTTAAAATGGCTAAATAAGTGTAAGAAATTTATGGTTATAGTACTATTTGTGATGCTTTCCAATTTACCAGGTTTTAGTAAGATTGAGCTATGGGGATGATGGATGAGAATGCTTGCAATCAAGAATATCAAGGACTTGAAATGCAAGAACTGGAGAGTAGCATGAAAACTTTGACCAAACTGGAATTGAACTTGGCGTATTCCTCGGAGAAGTTGACGAATCTTCATGTGCTTTTAATGTGTCTAATGGCTCAGGAGAATGATTTTGAGGGAGTGGATCTGGAGAATGATTCTATCCCAGATGATTTGTTTGAGAAGGTGTTGGCATTTGATTTCTTGTCTGGCTTTTTGGACTCTGAGGTAAGAGAGCTGGACAGTAACATGGATTCACTCGAAGCGGAAATAGTTGATTCCCGTGGAATGATATCTTCTTGTAGACAATCAAGTGAAGTTTTCAATGTAGTAGAAGAGAAATTGAATGATTCTGAAAGATCGATCGTTCAATCCCGACAGCAGATTTTAGAAGTGAAGATGCAGTTAGCCAAATTGCAGAGAATGGTTTTAAGCAGTGGAAATTGTTCGTGTTTTTTTTCTTTTCATTGAGTTGTTAGTAACCTTAGACAATGTAGAACTAACTATTTTGCAATTCTGATTACTCTGCCTTTGTGACAGGGAGATTGGAGGATCCTGTGATGTCGTCCCAAAATGATCAAGTTCTCAACATTAATGGGAAATCAAATCCAATAACTGAACAACAAAGACATATTCTAAGGATGCTAGAAAAATCACTTGCAAGGGAGCTAGATCTCGAGAAGAAGTTGTCAGAATCGAAGCAACGAGAAGAGGAGCTTAGATTGAAGCTACACTACACCGAACAGGTTACTTTGAGAATGGAAGAGGCTGCAGAAGTCGTTTGGGGTAGGTTTCTAGAGGCCGATAATAGTGTTGAGATTCTCATGGGGATTTCAAAGGAATTAGTTGGCCGCCTCCAGCTCGTCCAATTCAATCTACATGGTTCATTTCAACGCGAAAACGAGATCAAAGCTAAATTTCAAGATTGGATGGAGCAGCTTAAAGCAAAAGAAGTGTCGATACAGAAGCTCGAGAAAAGGAACGCTGATCTAATTGCCAAGAATGCTGAGCTAGATAAATTGAGGGAAGAAGTGAAGTCTCTTGAGGAGCAGCTTAAAGAATCTAAGCTTGACCTGAAAAGTGTATATGACTCAAATGAAGCAAGTCAAGATCAGCTTATTGAAATGGAAAATCTTATTGAGTCACTGAAAGAAAGCATCTGCATATCAGAAAATAGAGCAGAGAATGTTGAAGCCAAGCTCACACAGCTGCAAGAGACGAACTTAGAACTTACTGAAGAGGTAAGTTTTCTGAAAGATAGTGCAAGCAACAAAGAGAAAAAGGTTGGTTCACTTGAAAAACAGTTGAGGGAACTAGAGATTCAATTGCAGCATGCAAAATCATCATCAGAAGCAAGTCAGGAGCAACAAAACATGTTATATTCTGCAATATGGGACATGGAAACTCTAATTGAAGAACTTAAATCCAAAGTTTCCAAAGCTGAAAGTAAGACTGATAGTGCAGAGGAGCATTGCATTATCTTGTCTGAAACCAACTTTGAACTCAATAAAGAACTTGCTTCCCTCAAGGCTCGAATCGAGTTCTTGGAGAAAGCGTTGGATCAAGCCAGGAGTGCAAAATTTACGAATGCAAACGAAATTAACCTGAGTACCAAGTTTATCATGGACATGGTGCTCCAACTAGCTGTCGAAAGGGATCGCATTCAGAGTCAGGTATTATTTTTCAAAATCGTCAGATCATTATAAATTTGGCTAGCTACACACCTATTTGGATTTTTCAATCTCATGCATTTGAGTAACTTCAAATAATTGGAAGCAAGTTTTGATTTATCATGATATTAAAGCTTGGTCCTGATGAACAGATAAAATTATCTCGAATACATCAGTTTTGGTTAGAATTTTTTTACCCATTTTTTTAAAAACCTTCTGTTTTCATATGTAGATACGTATAGATTCATACTCTAATAGATGAATAATTCTCAAATTTTCTTCTGCAGCTATCCATCTTGACAAATGATAACAAAGCTTTAATAGAGAGATTGAAAAATGTAAAAAATGGCGCATCTGTAGTAACACGTGACAGAGGAGAGTACGACGAGGAGCAACGGTCAGCTCCAATGAAAGATGTAAATATACTGGCTCAATGATGTGTAAGGAATCTTGTATGGAGTCTTTGCAGAAAGGTCAAGAGGCAGGTACTCTTTCTTGTAAATCGCGTTGAATTGAGCTGATCGAATTTCTTGATGATTATACACAACAGCCAACACTCTGCTCATCACCAAGCTTCTAACTTTACAACCTTTTATTTTTCATGGTATCAGATTACTAAAGGACCTGAAGCCACACCCAACTGCTGGGCTGAAGGTACTTCTTCCGTATCCATAACTTAAAATGGTGAGAATTTCGTGTGTATTAATATTTTTATTTTGTCACTTTTATCATTACTTATTTCAGTATCATTGTATCCTTCTAGCCAGAGTCTTCCCCATTCTCTGGTTTTTTGTGGTTGAGATTTTCATGGCCTTTGGATCCAAAAGAAGAAAAAAAAAAGTTGGGAGAGAGCCTAAGGTAACTCCATTATTGTTGTCAAATACATTTGTTTTAGGTTGTGGTGGTTTCTTTGAGAACTTATGGTGAGGTTGTGTGGGATTTGTCTTCATTGCTCACATGTGAATATAATTTATTGTATTTGGGCATGTGTATATATATATATATATTATAGAGATATATAGATATATAGATATTTAGTTTCGATCTAATCACATTGGAATTTGATTTTTAATTGGTCTCCGTAGTAAAAGTGTTGTCATTTGAGCTGACTTACTCTTTTTTCTTTCTATTTTTGTTTGTTTGTAACATAGGTCTATAGTTGTCAAGTTGAACGTAAAACTATGCATTAAAAAAATAAAATAAAAATATCGTGTTTTACGAATAATTGTTTAAGAAGTAAAGTTTCAAGTAGGATTTAGATTCGATTGTTTTTGGAGTATAGAGATGCATTTCAATCCTTTTGCAATACTATGGAGTATTCAATCAACTTTTATTTATTATTATTATTTTTTAAATAATTATTTGGACTAACCATTATTCCATCTCTTGTTTCCCTTATCATTTTTTGATCTACGGCTGCCATTATCCAGATAGATAAATCGACACAAATTCGGTGAAGCTATTATAATTAATCTAAAAAACAGAAGAAAAATTTAGTAGGTTGGATTTATTCTATTTTAGTCTTTGCATTTTTAATTATCTAAATTTAGTAATTGTTTTTCTTTTCATCATCATTATCCATGTTATTAATTTATTTAAATGTCATTATTATTTAACCAATTTCCATAAAATTGATCTTGTATAGAAACTAGATTTGGACAATTTGAAGTATGGATTAAAATAAAATTGAAACCAGTGCATTAAAATTATGTTTTAACAAAGTTATGTTTTTTCTAAATGCATTAAAATTATGTTGATTAGATTATACCGAATACCATTTGATTTTGAGGTAGGTTTCAATGACCTTGAAAATATTTATTTTTACTTTTTAAACATCGAAATTTATTATAATAATAATAATAAAGAGATTTTCGTTAAGAAACTAAAATGAGATTTTCGTTAAGAAACTAAAATCAATTCGACTATTAACATGTAAAAATCGAAAGACATACGAGACTTTATTTAGAACCTTATTCACATAAATTGGTGTTACAACGTATATGTAAAAATAATTATATAAATTATTTCTATCAAAATTATATAAATGATTTCAATCTTCCATAACATTATACACATAATTTTTACCCATCGACTTCATATTAATTCCATCATGTTTTAGTTTTAAAAAATTCAAAGATTAATTTAATATATGTTATTTGGAACCCATTTTAAAGTTATAAAGTAAAAAAAGAAATTTTAGAAGTCTATTTTGTATAATTTAACTAAATAATGTTATATATATATATATATATATATATATATATATATATATATATATATATATATTTTGAGTATAAGGAGTTGGTTATGAGAATTTAAATCTGTATTTAATTATGATTAACTAGTAAATTTTATCCTTTTTAATCTTAAAATTTTATAAATTAAAACGTAATAAATAAATAAATAAATAAATAATTGTAACCCAATGGAATTTAAATTCTATTTATTTCGTAGGGTCCCCAGATTTCGGAGAAACAAGGAATGAGGACAAAACCCTAATCCAGCAAACACTTTGTATAAAACCCGATAGGTTGGTTCACAATCAGCGTAACCTAAAATGGAGCTTTGGCCATTGGCTTCTCTCGAGAGCCATCTCCTTCAAATCGATTCTCTGGTCAGCAACGTGTTACTTAGCAATTGGTATAAGAATTTGATTTTTCTTGTTTTGCTTTCATTTTCCTGCATGATTTGATCTGATGCACCAAGCAGCCCCTTGCTTCTCCGAGTTTAGTTGCAAGGAAAATCGAGAAAAGGGTATACTTGCGGTGCTACATTCATTTTTGGCCTTTACATCTATGGTTTTGGGGAAGATTTTCTCCCGCTCAACCCTGTTTGGCCAAAGAAACAATCAATCGTATACTCGTTCAGAATGTGAATTTTTCTCTTATTTCAGTCTCATTTTTTGTATAAAGAATGTAAAATGGCCATTCAAGATGATGAAGCTTTTTTGAGGTGAACATATGATGTGCGTAACTCATATAATGTAATGCCTTCAAAGTTCTCTGATTGTTGTTTCCTGATGTCTTTTGACGTAACATTTTGTTGCCATCTATTCTGAGTTTGAATTGATGTGGAAATTTTGATTTTGGTATTCTTCTAGGATAAGTGAATCGATGCAGGTATGATTTGCGCCTCTACAAGAAGGTATACTCAATAATTGGAGTTACTTTTTTTTTTTATGATTATTATTGGTTGATAAATTTGCTGTAAGAGAAGCAAGGCAAAATGATGAAAACTTTGTTATCTGAAACTGATGTGGAACTTATATCATCATGGTCTTCAAAGTTCTCTGATTGTTGTTGTCTGATCTTTTCTGAATTTGAATTGATGCGTAAAATGTGATTTTGGTGTTCTTCGAGGATAAGTGAATATCGATGCAGGTATGATTTGAGCCTCTAGGTGTACTCAATAATTGGAGTAGCTTCCTTTTTTATGATTATTATTGATTGTTAAATTTTCTGTGAGAGAAGCAAGGCAAAATGATGAGAACTTTGTTATCTGAAATTGATGTGGAACTTATATCATTATGGTCTTCAAAGTTCGCTGATTGCCTTGCTGTTTTGCTTTTTTCTATCATATTAGATATAATCTTGGTGTCTAGTTTAATGGGGTAAGTTGAATATCTATTGGGGGAGGCCTTCAAATTATTTAGGGTAAATAAGCAATACTGGTAGCACTAAAATTCATGGTCTGGAGAGAACTTGTATCTCAGGCCATACGAGCATTGTGCGACATTAATATCTCTCCTTTGGTTCTCTAATTGTTGCCTCAGTAATTTGCATGAAGTGGCTGAGGCAGAACTGGAGAGGGCATAATGAAACTCTCATTTTATTTTCTTATCTCTGAGAATTTCTTTCTTCATACTGCAAAGCCAATCAACATAGTAGGCTCGAAAAGAACCATAGGAAATGGTGGAGATGAAGAGGACAAGTTGCTGAGAATCAAGGCTGTAAGTGCCCTGAAAGTTGGACCAAGAAATGAGTTCTCAAGCTGAGGGATTTTGGCTGGTGAAGAAGGCCTCTGCATTTTGACGTAAATTGGCAGGCAATCTGACTCCCCAGGTAAAACTGCCGATTGCTAAGATCCTTGTGGAGTTGATTTCCTGTCTCTAGGGAGGTTTCTTGTGGAGTTCATGCCATTGAGAATATGTAAAGTTTTGCTCAATACTCAATTGTTTTCCCTTTTTATGTTCCAATTGATTATTCTAGAATTTAGAGATGAACTTTCGGTTCTCAAGTTTTGTCTTACTCAGATTTTTAGTGATCTATTATTTACTGAGTAATTGGTATAACTCACACATTCATGTACAAACCAATGCCGAAAAAACCAATGCAAAAAGTAAATGATTTTAAATTTTGAGTTGAAATTGTCCAAAAAGATTGACCGTTGAAAAGCTTGGGAAGAGGTTTGGCATTATTTCCAAGAAGCTGCCTTTTCCTTCCCCTTCTTGGCATGCCTAAAAATCAAGCTTCAAATTAATAGAAAATACCAATAATGAAATCATCAAGCTTCTTCATTTTAAACTAGTCCATCAAATTTATCAAGTTTCACCATATAGTTCTTCGCTGTTTTCAAATAAACCAATAAAATTATTAGACGAACTAAATCATTTAACATTTCACAACATAAACTTAATTGCTATAAACACTTCATATCAAGACTAAATTGCTCTGGAAAACATATTGAGTATCAAAATGATGAAGCTCTACTAAGCCAAGCTTTAACAATAGTAAAACAAGACAAAATCCAAATCAAACGGTTCAAGTTACCAAGCATTAGCAACATGTTTTCCAAAAAAAAAAGGAAACATATAAAGAGAGCCCGTTATTCTTGATGCAGCCATCGATGAGGCTGAAGAGAAAAAGGCTATGGAAGAGGCTGAAGAAAAGAGCCTTCAGAGACTGCACTAAACCATCGATCTAAAAGAAATGGATGGTGGATACTAAAAAGAAAGAAGTCAGTTGTATGAAAGACCAAAGACAATCAAGGAGAAGACACATGCTAAACAACTGATCCAAGCATAGTTCTGATGCATAAGAAGAAAGCTTGCAATGATGGACACACCAATTGCGGCAAAAAGCGCTCCGAGCTTTTCGAACAAACGTGCAGCTTTTGGGAAGGCATTTTGAAGGAGAATACCAGCAAATGAAAGTAAAAAGCTGATGAACATAGTAGTTCCAAAAAGGAGTGTCAAAAGTGGAGGAGATGAGCTTGGTGAGCTGATGAACATGGCTAGAAGTGCTTGAAAAGTAAGCTCAATATTTGCCTTCCCAACATTGGAATGCCCTTTGTCTGGCTCAAGCCTCTGTTCCCTTGCCCTCCAAATTGGTAAACAATCTCCTGGGGTGGGGAAACAGATGATTTCATAGCATCTTTGCTTGATTGTGTGGACCAAGGAAGAAAGGGCATTCATATTTAAACAGGTGTGGTGTGAAGTTGAAGCCATTGGAAAACAAAAACAAAAAATTGGAAGCTTTCTCCTACTCTCAATGGTAGTATATGTGATTCTACTACAATTTGTTTTGAATATCTATATCTATATCTATATATATATATATATATTATTTAAGGAAATTCAGTTATATCTGCTTAGAAATTGTGGAGGGACCTTCTTTCATCACTACTTGTTCAAGAAGTTCTATCTCTTCTTTTGTCTTGTTTCTTGAACTTTCTGAACAATTTTCAATCCCTTCATATAATTTCCAAGAAACTTACTTTCTTGAGAACTTCTTTCATCACTATAAAGCAGAAGGGTTTCTCAAAGTGAAGAAAAACAGCAACAATCTCTTGAGAACTTCACTATTTCCCTACTTTTCCTCTACGAATGGCATGCAAACTAGAAGAAAGGAAGGAAATGAGATTATCAGACCAATTTGCAGTGACCAAACTCTCCACTTTCACACCTCCAACAGTAATCTTACAATCAATTTTGTTTCTGTCTTGGAACAGTCTCACAATCCTTGTGTTATTTGCAGGCAGTGCAGCGGGGAATGTGATCTTCCATGATCTTCCCTCCTCTACCATTGATGCCTTTGTTATCTCAATTTTCTTTGCCTTTTCAGGTGCTTTGAGTGCTCTTTTGGTCCCTCAAAGGCACAACTTAGCTACATTTTGTGCCTTGTATTCTCTGGCTTCCATGGCTTCTGCTCTGCTTCTGCTGATTTGGGGATTGTATCACTCACTCGTTCTCGGCAAAGCTCTGCGAGCTTTGCCGAGATTAGAATGCCTTTGTTTCCTGTTTTTGTAAAAGCCCTTTTGTTTTGAAGTTTGGCTCATTTGAATAATATCAAATTAGACTTATAATCCTCTTTCAAGTCTGCTATCTGCGGCCAATTTATCAAAAATTATGTCAACTAGATTCCCATGAGGCTCAACTAATGGCTAAAAGAAAAGTAGGAGTGATATGATCAAGTGATTATCCACAATATACAACCCTTCATTCCCTTGATAAAATATACTTGTTTGATAGAAGTGCGTTCTTGAAGCATTTATAAAATGCAGAACAAACCATATCCATGCCACATCCAATATTTTAAGTGATACACCACTTTTCTGATGAATTTTCTAAGGATGCAAATCATGGTGGGGTGAAAAAGAATATGCACATCGCATTTTGGTGATGTCATTTTCAATAATTTGAAGCTCTTTCTCTTTGTTTTCTTCCTATAAGACCTCTTTATCCTATGCCTTCTGCTTCCCTATCAGCTTAGCAATCTCCTTGTAAGTCCCTTCAGATTGCTTATAATTTGAGTATGGAAATCTCTGGAGCCCACTTTCCAGCTCCTGGAAACTATGGCATGATCCAAAACCACAATATCAATGGATTGTCGTCTTATATTTCTGTTAGTTCAACTTCCATTTCTGATGATGGTGATGATCAGAACCAGATACCTGGGTTCGTCATCGATGAGAGGAAGCAAAGGAGAATGATATCGAACAGGGAGTCAGCGCGAAGGTCGCGGATGAGGAAACAGAAGCATCTTGATGAACTTTGGTCCCTGGTGGTTCGTCTTCGTACAGAGAATCATAGTCTTATGAAGAAGTTGAATCAGTTGACAGAATTCCAACAGCAGCTTCTTCAAGAGAATGTCAAGCTCAAAGAAGAAGCCTCGGATTTTCGTCGGATGATCGCTGACATTCAAATGTGCAGTCCTTACACAACTCCCTTGAGAGATCTGGAGGAAGCCCCATGAAATACCTTTGATTTCATAGCTGAATTCTCAAGCCAATCTAACGAGTAGAGAAGTTCCCTTCCCCTGTTTCACTAAGATCATAGCTATTTCCTCTCACAGTCCTTCCAGTTTATGTCTGTCTTAGCATGCTTGTAATAAGCCTCTACCCAGTACTCAGCGTTATAAATTGAAGAAATAACAAAATTTAGCCAACAGACTTCCAAAATCAGATCAACAAACACCTTGGTTTTCTCAGGGGACTTTTGTCAAACACCTTGTGGACACTATTCAATAGATTAATGAAACCAGAGTTCTGTAACATGTGCACTGAAAAACAAGTGTACTTTCCAAGAGCATAGAAAAATAAGAACCAATTAGACAAAATATCTACAAAACTAGATAAAAATCGAGACAAAAACGTGAAAAAACAGCCATCTAGACAGACCCATCTGCAATTGAACTCGAATGATTTGTTCTTTTTTACCTGAGCATCAAATTCCTTGCTTGCTTCAATTTGGTTTAGCGAAGATTATCGCAGTCCTCAAATCTTCATTTTGGATTCTACAAAATCGAAACAGAGAACATATTCCAATTGAAGATTCTAACACAAATCGCGCTTTGATTCTTCTTTCACCCTCCAATGGTACTCCCTTTTGCAAGCAAAAAGTGCCCAATTGCCCCAAATCCTAATTCCAAGCTGGGTACCTAAGTAGTAGCTTGATTATCAGGGATTGGGAGTCCTTTCGGCTCTCTATCGTTATTGATACCATTCGATTTCTAGTTGCTACATTTTTAATGCGTGAATTAATCTAAATTCGAGAATATTTTTATTTTTATTAAAATATTTGAAAATAACTCTCAAACGTTTTACTTTTATTAAAAAAATTAAATAAATCATTCGAACTAAATAATGGATAATAGCTAAGTAGATATGACACATATCATTACAATTAAACTAAACTATGCTGGAAGGATTCATTAGTATAAGCATCCAACTATTCTTAGACTAGTTGTCTATTTGAAAGATAGCTAAGTAGACAAAGACAACCTCTAAACATTGGTACAATAATGGATGGTTATAGCTAGAAAAAGGTGGGTAAAATGAGGTTCATAATCTTAGAAAGGAATTGACAGTTTAAGAAAGTTTTGATCCAATCAAAATTGAAAAAGAGCACTTCGGCCAGCACGAGGGTTGACCCACCACACCACACCCTACAACTCTCGTCGCTCATGGCCGAATGAAATCTCTGCCAACGCACAACAACAACACAACTCCGTGGGAAGCGAGCGAGAGAGAGAGAGAAAGAGACGGGTCATTCTCTTGATTTTCGATCCGTTCACCGTCTTCTTTCTTCTCCACTCGATCAAAAAACCCAAAATCTCAGATGGGTTTCATTGATTCATTCAGTTCAATCGATTGGGAGCATGAATCTTTCCCTTCTTATCAGGATTTCTCTTTTCTTCCCCTTTTTGCGCTTCTCTTTCCCACGGTTCGGTTTTTTCTCGACAGATTTGTCTTTGAGGTATTCCCTTTTCTCCCCCTCTTCGCTTTTGTATCTTTCAATCTTTGGATTGGGGTTTTGTTTAATCATTGGTTTAGCTGATTTCGATGATTGAATTGAGATTTAATTGACCGTTGACTCATGTTCTGTTCATTGAATGATTCTGTTTTGCTCATCTTGGCATCTGGTTGCATAGTGATATTTGGGTTTCAATCCGTTTCTTGATTAATTGGAATGAAAGTCCTGTTTTAGTTTAGGTAATGTGTTGGGGATGGCCGAAAACGGCAAGGTTTTGGTTATATATGTTACTCGTAGTGTCTATTAAATGTGGTGTCAGTCTTGGTTAGTTTGGATTCATAACAGGCTGCAGTAATTTATTATTTGGGTTCTCTTTGTGCCACATCTGTTATGAAGTAATTGGCCATGCATTGCTGACCATTTTTTTCGTTTGTCTTTGACCATTTTTGTACCAATAGCTTTGATATTTGTTGTTGTTTTGTTTTTTTTTTTTCCTTTTCTGTGAGCTCTTGATTGTAACAGCTGAATGATACACCCAATTCTTTAGTGTTGTCTAATGTTTCGTCAAAGCTGTTTGGAATGTGTTAGAAAGCCGTCATTCCTGTTTGTCAGAAAGCAGTGCCAACCGGCGTTGTTAGTGTCTATGACTCCTCCGTGTTGAACTGAGAGTGAGTCTCATGTGTTTTTTGGCTAGAAAATATGTATTTTGGGCTCAATAGAGGTCTCGCCAATTTCAACGTTATAATCGCTCGTCCACCGCTAGTAAATATTGTCGACTTTTCCTTTCGAACTTTCCCACAAGGGTTTTAAAATGTGTTTGCTAGGGAGAGGTTTTTACACCCTTATAAAGAATGTTTCGTTCTCCTTCCCAACCGATGTGGGATCTCATAATCCACCCTCCTTCGGGGCCCAACGTTCTCTTCTCCTTCCCAACCGATGTGGGATCTCACAACTCACCCTCCTTCGAGGACAACGTCCTTGCTGGCACACCGCCTCGTGTCCACCCCTTTCAGGACTCGGCCTCCTCGCTGGCACATCGCCCGGTGTAACTCTAATACCATTTGTAAGAACCCAAGTCCACCACTAGCAGATATTGTTCTCTTTCGACTTTCCCTTTCGGGTTCCTCTCAAGGTTTTTAAAATGCGTCCGCTAGGAAGAAGTTTCTACACCCTTATAAAAAATGCTTCGTTCTCCTCTCCAACCGAGGCGGGATCGTTTTGTTATATTTCTTGTTGTTGCCTGCTTTGATTCAAATACCTTCTTGTTAGATCATGTGCTTGTACTTTTTGGAGATGCCAACTTCGCGAGAATTTGATGCTTTTTGGAGATACGTGAAGTGTTTGTGGTTCTGTTCTCGGTTGCAGTTCAACTGAAAATTTTATAGGTCACCCAACTGTGTGAAATTCACTAACTCGATGCGTTATTCATGGGGATCCACTTTGTGAAATTTCAAGCACATGGGAGACTTTTCATGACTTACCTTCTCCTTTTTAATCTTTGCATTCGATCAATGTTATGTAGATGAGAATGCTCTTTTCTTGTTTGCATCTCTCCCTTTCTTTTAAAAATTTCCGTGTTCTGCAGCTCCTAACATTGTATGGCACAAACTTATCTTACAGAAAGTGGGAAGAAGATTGATATTTGGAAAAGGGTATCAGCTGAAGGATGTGAATACAGATGAGAAACGGAAGAAGATAAAAAAATTCAAGGAGTCAGCCTGGAAATGTGTTTACTTTCTTTCTGCAGAGCTGTTGGCTCTATCTGTTACATATAATGAGCCTTGGTTTACTAGCACCAAGCATTTTTGGGTTGGACCAGGAAATCAGGTCTGGCCTGACCAACGAGCTAAGTAAGTTCTCCAGTGTTGATATCTCTTATTTTTTCTTTCTTGGTGGAGTGTCTAACCATAATAGTATGATATTGTCTCCTTTGAGCAGAGGCTCTCATGACTTTGTTTTAGGCTTCTCCAAAAGGCCTCATATCAATAGAGATGTATTCTTTACTTATAAACCCATGATCATTCCCTAAATTAGCCACTGTGAGACTCCCTCCCAACCATCCTCTCCTCGAACAAAGTACATTGTAGAGGCTCCTCTGAGGCCTATGAAGCAATTGAACAACCTCCCCTTAATCGAGGCTCAACTCCTTTCTTTGGAGTCCTTGAACAAAATACACCCTTTGTTCAAAACTTGAGTCACTTTTGACTACTTCTAGGCTCACGACTTCTTTATTCGACACTTGAGGACTCTATTGACATGGCTAAGTTTAGGGCATGACTCTGATACCATGTTAGGAATCACGACTCTCCACAATGGTATAATATTGCCTACTTTGAGCATAAGCTCACATGGCTGTGCTTTGGGCTTTTCCAAAAGACCTCATACCAACAGAAATGTATTCCTTACTCATAAACTCATGATGCTTCTCTAAATTAGCCAATATGAGACTCCCTCCCAATTATCCTCAACAATTAAGTTCACCATTATACATTCATACGTGTACAACAGGTTTTCGTATAATCATTATAAAATGACCAAGTGTTACGCAAAAGTATCAGGACTAAAGTTGTGTTTTGACCAAGAATCTATTATTTAGAACACTTCATGAATAAGAACTTTTATGTTTCAGGTTGAAATTGAAGGGATTATACATGTATGCAGCTGGGTTTTATACGTATTCCATATTTGCTTTGAATTTTTGGGAAACAAGACGTTCAGACTTTGGAGTGTCCATGAGCCACCATGTGGCAACTCTCATTCTCATAGTGCTTTCCTACATTTTTAGGTACTTCCGATCTTTTATTTCTTTAAAGCTTTGAAGTATCTTAACTGATTTCTAGTACTACTACTATGTTAATGACTTGAATCCTACCCGAAAAGTTATATGCTCTTTAAGCTGTGGTGTTGCTTTTTGCTTGTATACCATATAACATTGTTTTCAACTTTCAAAATCTCTATGCCCCGTTTTCTTAAATTTTCTTCTCAATTCGGGGCTAAAGGCTTGAGCATACGTTGCCTGACCGTAGGTGACACGATCCTAAATTGGCTTGATTCACTCAATGCTGAATGTGAGTGTTGCACAACCTCCAAATCCACTACCAAGAAAAGTGCGATTGTGACAGTTGACTAATTACATTGTACGTCGTTCTTGTAGATTTGCTCGTGTTGGTTCTGTCGTTCTCGCACTTCATGATGCAAATGATGTGTTTCTTGAGATTGGGAAGATGTCCAAATACAGTGGCGCTGAGACATTAGCTAGCATTGCATTTATACTCTTTGTGTTGTCTTGGTTGTTATTACGTCTCATCTACTATCCATTTTGGATCCTTTGGAGCACAAGGTTTGTAACCTCGTATCAATTTAACTTTTGAGAGGAACAAGCTGCTATCCATTATCTTGTTGTCTAATTGTTCTTCCCCATTTTATTTCAGCTATGAAGTTCTCCTTGTATTGAACAAGGACGAACATCCCATTGATGGACCAATCTACTATTATGTGTTCAATACTCTTCTATTTTGCCTTTTAGTTCTTCACATATATTGGTGGGTGCTAATTTACCGAATGCTTGTTAAACAAATCCAATCTAGAGGACAGATTAGTGAAGATGTTCGTTCAGGTAAGATTATATAAACGATTAGTGAAGGTTTTTCGCTCGAGTTTTTGTTTCGTCGCGCTCACCGTTTGTTCGACTATGCAGATTCCGAGGGCGAGGAAGAACACGAAGATTGACGAAGAAGATTCGATGCAGAAAATTGTGTCATATACATGAAAGGTTTGGTATAAATCTTAAACCATTTGGATGACTCTTCAAGAAACAGAAACTGGCATCTGCTGCGTGTGATTATGATTCTATATAGTTTAGGACTTCAACAACCCATTACAGAAACTAGATCAAAACTGTTCTTAGTTCTAATGTCAATAACTTAAAATTCATTAATACTTGTGGATTGCTAGTGAGTATCCATGTTGGTTTTCTGGGCAGCAGATGAGATAGATAGATAGATAGATAGATATTAGCCAAAACAAATAGTTGGGTCTGGGAATTTTCTCGGGCGTTGTGTAGATGAACGATCGAATGAACGAACGAACGAACCGCGTATCGCTTCATCGATACATTCCAGGTAAGAGAAGGGTTGGCAGTTGGAGGAATTTGAATCTTGATTATATATTCTTTGTTCATTTACTGAAGCATTCATTGAGTTGGATGATGAACAGCCAGCCATTGTGTTCATAGTGAACTGAATTTTATGTTCGTGCTGTATTTGTCTCTGTTTATTAATGTGAAACTGCCCAATTTCTTGTACAAACAATACTACAATTTTAGATTCAGACACGTTCTAAGACAGTTTTTGTTCCATGATTGATTACTAAACGTGTTTATGTTTGTTCTTTAATAGAAAAATTAAGAGACTGATGTGGCACAAATTTTAGGGACAAAAATGTAATTTTCTATTTTATTTAGACACAAAAATCAAAATAAAAATTAAAAAATGTTTAGAAATAAAAATTAAATGAAGTTCGAGTAATTTTGACGTAAATTTTTTATCATTTTTAAAAATTTTAATATGGCTATTATATTTAATTTTAAAATATCAAATATAAGAATTTATTAGAGCTGTAATTAAAATTTAGGGGTATTTTGGGAAAATAATAATAATTTCAAATTTTTATTAAATATTTTTTATATATTGGGGAAGCAAAATAAAAAATATATATTAGATTCTTTAAAAAAGTTGAAAGAAAATAAATATAAACATGTTGTGGCCATCGCTTTTTCTTTACTTCCGCAAAAAGAAACCTAAAGAGCTTTAAAGCACCGGCAGTTTCCAGTTGCAGAACCGATTTTCTCCGTCGACGGTCTCTCTTCCGGTTGGTTCCTCTGTCTTCTCCTCCCCCTCTCTGTATCCTGTAGGTCAATTTAGATCTTTAATTTTTTATTCGCATTTCGTTAATCTGTGTGAGTAACCAACTTTAGCGAAAAACATATATAATGTTATGTTAGACTCATATTTACTTCTGGAAATTTGCGATTGAGTTCAAATTGTTGCAAAATTTAAGTGGAACAACCTGGTTCTGAATCTGGATTCGCCTTACTTTTCGTGTTCGGGAGCTTCATTTTGAAGTACGAGGATTCTCTAGTTTAAGCTTTGAAATCTGTTTATCTGAGAGATTTATTGTGTTGAGAATGTTTGTTTAGTTGCTTGTTATTTTCCGTTGAAAGACAATGGGATTTTGTGATTGTGTTGAATGAATCTAATAAGGAGTTCAAGAATGTTATCTTTGTTGGAGATGCGATGCCTGCAATGGATTATTCACTTTTATGGCATAGTTTTTTTTGCAGGAACAAAATGGAAGACGTCCTAACGGAAATTCCCCCTCCTTCAAGGTTTTTTCAAGATGATCTTAACAGTTTCGCTCTTCCATCACCTCCTCTTCCATCCCCATTTCTTTTGTTATCAAACTCTAAGGCTAATGAACCTCTCCGCCCTTCTCTACTTGTCATTGCCATTTCTTCCCCTTCTCTGCATCTTTTCCATCATTTATCTGCTAAAACCCTTATTGGAAGTCTCATCCTACCTGAAGTTCCCTTCTCTGGAAACCATATCCAGCCCTCGGTTGATGACAAATCTTGCAACATTTACTCCATTGATCAAGATAATGAACTAATTATCCTCGTCTCCGTTCAGTTTTCTGTTCCTGCAGAGAGATCTATCCTTGTTGCAAAGCTACTACTTGATAATAAAATTATTCCTGAGAGGGTTTTGATCTTGGATAGTCTTCAGAGCCAAAATTTTCGGGGCAAGCTTTCACCTGATGAAACTTTTGCTTTCAAGCTGGAGACCTCTTCTGAAAGAAAGAAGAGTCGAGATGAGGGTAATAGCGGTTCACTAATGTTAAAGGGCCTGGATTACTATCCATCAGGAAGTGTTGTAGATGGCTTGGCTGCTGCTTTGCTTGGACGTTGTCAGATGAAGAATATCAAGGGAGCCCTCTGTGTTTCATGGCCAGAATATGGAAGTGAGGTGATATCTCTGCTCAAATCTTTACTTCACCAAAATGTGCTATTGCAACATACATTAGAATTTTGTACTGAAAGTAATAATGGGGATGAGTACCTGAACCGAACTAAGGACCTAGATTTATACACCTGAAAGAGTTGGGCTGTCAGAGTTACTAATATACATTTCCTTGTATGGTGCACACTGTTTCTTCTTTCCTTTTCACTGTGCTCCAGAAAATGTTGAAATAGATGGTAACCCACGAGGTCATTAGTTGAGGGGAATGGAATTTTCAACCATTGCTTCTTAAAATCCATTTTCTAAGGCTATGGAAGGTGTTTTTGTAATTCTGTGTTGGGCTGTTAGCTAGCTAGTACCAATGATACATTCAGCTCGTTATCATGCTTGAGATTATAGTTATTCTATTAATACTAAAAGCTCTCTGTTTATTATTTTAAACTAATGGCTCAATCCTGGTATGACTTCATCCTTTAGTTGTGTGTGTGTCTCTCTATAGAGAGAGGATTTCGACATGGACCGGTTCTTTTGGAGCGACCCTTTCTTTTAGTTGGGCTTTTACAATTGCCCTAATGCAGGCTGGATCTCTTTTCCCGTACACATCCATATTGGATTTGGGAGCCTCCTCAATTTAACGGGAACTTCTACTTCTTCATGTGGAGGTAGATTGAGATCCATGTCCCACCGAGGGACTCAAGATTTAAAGAATGAAAGTTTAAATGTCTATGGACATATTGTGGAGGTGTTGTGGAGGCAAGTAGATGTTGCAAGAATTTGAGAATTTATGCAAGAAGTAGACACTAGACAGGGTATACAACATCAACTTACGAGGTCTCAAACACCACAACAAAACCACTCAGCTCTTAAAATCTGCCAAAGTCGACTCCAAATGAGGGAATGGATTAGAACATGTGATTGCTACCTACAAAGAATATAAAAATTCTTCGAGTTGGCATGAAATAGTTCCCATGCAATATCAAACATTATCAGACGTCTTGTAGTCAGACATTTTAAACAAAACATCTAATCAAACGACCTTTTATAGGTCTTCTTTCTAAGAAAAACGAAACCAAATCATATATACTTTTCATATATGGTATGAAAACACTTATTGAACTATAGACCCCTTTACCAGTTGGGTTTTGTTACAAACCAAATTCACAATCTTCTTGGAAGAACTTGATACAAACGTTGATACAATTCCTTTTCTTTTCAATAGTAGTAGTAATCTATGTTCTATCCATTGGTAATTAAACCAATGTATGGCTTAACAGCAGAGCCAATCCACAGCCTCCCTCTACTTTCTTCAACCTCACTCACCGACTCCAGTGCTTGCCCATCCCCCCCATCAAGCATCCCTTTCACTGCCCCCATCTCGTCCAACTTCACCGCCACTGGATCGCCCCGAATCCACGGGATCTTCACCTTGCCGTGCTGCAATGTCACTCCCCGGCTAAGCCCTGTCCACGTCTGAACTTCGAGCTTCCCTCTTGCAGTGTTCATAGCGATCCAAAAGTCACCGTTGTCAGTCCTCTTTATGTTGTCTGGGAACCGTTCGAGCTCCGCAAATATCTCCACCGTGTGAGTTTTGGGACCCTTTTGTTAAGAATATGAAAAATCTCATTTAAGTGCAAAAGTAGTATGTGATTTGTGACGGGTGTTCTTAAATTTTTAATTTTACAACTTAATTTATTTAAAATTCACATAAGACACCTATTAGCCACAAAAATCAATTTTATATTGAATAATATCAGGTAATTTATTTCTAAAAATAAATGTATTAAAAATCTAGTAAATACACAAGTTTGAGATAAAATTACCATATTCATACCTTTAACCAGAACTTTAAAATCTGAAGAGCACCAGTTTCGGCCATTAGAAGGAAGGAAGAATTGGTGTTCAAAGCGATGCCATTGGGGAAAGCAAGACCGTTGAGCAATACGGTGACATTTTTGGTACGTACATCGTATTTCAATAGCCTCCCTGACTTGTCTCCTTTCATTATCGATGACACCCAAACCCTTTCCCCAACAAATAATAATATTTATTATCATTTCAAAATAATAAATAAAGTCTCATAATTTATGATTCACAATTATTTTATATTATGGTCTCCCTTGTTATTGGAGAATGGTCAAACACATTATATTTTATTTTATTCAATTTATAAGAAAAAAAAAACAAAAAATATTCGGAAAAAGACGAGGAGAAATTACCTTCTTTGGAACAAGGTGCTGCTATCCGTGAAATAAACGGCGGCGTTTTGAGAGTCGATATCGAGAGCATTAGTGAAGCGGAGTGGGACGCCGTGGGCGGAAGAGGCGAGTTGACGAGCCAAGCCGCCATGGGGTCCGACAGCCAAAAGGCCATAATAGGCATCCGCTATGTAAAGCTCACAGCTTGAGCTTAAAGAATGGTCGAATTTTAGCCCTAATGGCCTTCCACACGCCGGCTCCGTTTCCGGCTTCCCATTGCATTCTTTTCCCTCCCTGGAAATTCCTCCACGTGGCTAGTTTTTTTTTTTTTAAATAAATAATAAAAATAAAAATAAAATATTGCGTACCTGTTGGGCGAGGTAACAGCAAAGAGAGTCCAGCCCAAAGCAGGACCTTTCCACTTCAGGATTCTGCCGTCGGACACGCCGGCGTACGGCCCTTCTCCACGGCAGTCGAAGGCAATGCTTTCTGGCCCGAAAACCCCACCGGGAAGGGGAAGCTCCTCTGCTTCCATGCTAGCTTCCAACAATGGAGCCCAACACACCACCACCGCCGCCGCCGCCACCCATAAAGCCACCAACAATGGACTACAACAAACCGCCGCACACTCCATTTTCCTCCCTCTCTCTCTCTCTCTATCTCAAACTAAAATATAAAATGGTTGATTTATGTAATATTTCATATAATTTAAAGCAACATTACACATTTTAACTATGCAATAAATGGATATATGAAAAAAAAAAAAAATTGATTTTCTAGTGGTTAGTGGTTATCTCACTTAAAGTTGAATAAAAAATAGGTTAAAGTATAAATCAATTTAGTAAATATAAAATAAAACATCAAAATAAACTAGATTGACACGTCCCCATCAAAAAATAAATGCAAAAATATGATGACATTGACTCATTGACTTGATCACTGTCCGACCCATTACAACATGCATATAAAAACATGTCAACGTTGTTGTGACGAGTATACCTAATTAACCCATTTTTTTAATAGTGCATAACTCGAGTTATAGGAGATGAGAATTGACACTGTGAATGTTTGATTAATCCACCACACCTAAATGATGTGAAAGTTATCTTATTTATAATCAAATAAATTACAAGGATATGGAAATAATAATAAATGAAAATAACAATAAATGGAAAGATACCTATGATAATAAGACAAATATTAGATATTTGCCTTATAATAAAATATCAAATATAATATATATGGTAAACTATAATTTATTACTAAATATCCTTAACAGACACTAAGCCAATTATATGCTCTAATATTACAACTGTAAAGAGACGTGGGTCATGAATTATTTACTACATAATTGTAGATAGGTCATTTAAGGACCTATTTGAAATTTTTGTTCTCCACCTACCTACCCCTACCCCTACCCCGGCTGTTTCATTAATATTTTTGTGGAGATTGAGACGGGATTCTGCCCGCTCGACTCTTTTTTTCTTCTTCTTCTTTTGGAGTCTTCTTGACTATGCGCCTTCGAGACTCACAATACTTTGTTCGACATGATCTCCTCAATGGTATGAAATTGTCCACTTTGAGTATGAACTCTCATGATTCATTCCCTAAACTAGTCCACGTGAGACTTTCATCCAACAACGTCATCAAAGACTTTTATAAAATGTATTTTTCGTGAATCTTAATAAAATCGTTAAGAGTCCCATCTGCCAACCTTCCAACTTCTTACCTCTTAATGAAGATGATTCAAAGTTCAAAGCATTGTATTAAGTGTTCTCCCATCTAACTTCTACTTACCCTTTTCTTTTAAATTAATTATTATTATTATATATTGCTCGATTATCTAAAACCTTTTTTATTATTTTAAAATAGAAGTGAGTCGACTGTTTGAACGTGACAAGATTACGACATTTTTGTTAACATCAATGTTTTAAACTTTAACTGAGTCATTATCATTCTACACTTTAAGATATTTATTGCGTAATTATTTTCGTTAATTAAAAATTCCTCTATAGGTAAAATTGATTTCGATTTTCTAATTTATTCCATTTTAAATTCAATTTTATGTCAATTATTTATTTAATCAGAATTTTATTATATTAATTTATATATTAATGAAGAATTGTTGTTGCAGTATTAAAATATATTTATAGTTTACTCTATCAACTTTCCATTCTCTATAAATATATATATATATATATTCAATTATATTTTTAAATTAAAAAAAATTAAAAATACTATTGCCGGTTAGTTTTTTTTTTTTTTTTTTTTAAATTAAAAAACTTTAATATTTTATTTTATAATTTATAAAAACGGTAAAAAAATTCTTACGGTTGTGTACGAACGAAATCATTAGTAACACATTTAAAAAATACCCGTAAACTTTCAAAGACAACATTATTATCCTTAAACTTGAAGAAAGTAAAAAAAAAAAAAATTACCATTAAATTGAAAAGAGACAATTATTTTTTCTTTCATATATTGACAAAAATAATTTTTTTTTTATGAAAGTTAAAAGGTGTTAATATTACGAGCATGTTTTAAATAGAATACTCACGGTAAAAATGTTTAAAAAAAAAAAATCTGTATAAAAAAATAATGGAAAAAATATTTTTGAAATTTTTTTGAAATTGAAAAATATTATTGAAAATTTAAAAATATAATATGATGCACGCATGTACAAGTGTAGAGACGTAAGTTTTAAATATAATAATTAGATATTCTTAGCTCGTTGAGTATCATAAATATTAATGTTCCGTTTTATTTAGAGGTAGATTTAAGTTGGTTATTTAATAGCATTTTGGAACATTATAATGTTCGTCGAGGGCATATTAATGTCAACAAAAGCTTATTATGGTATTATAATGCTTATTGGGATATATCGTTTTAGTACAGCGCTAATCGAGAACTCTTGAGCCTCACAATGGTTTATGAAGACATGTCGAGCCGTAAGATGCAGTTGGCCTTGTTACTCACTTGGACATCCTTATCGAGAACTAACCCATGAGTCAACTTTATAATCATGACATCTCAGACATCTATCTATCAGAGTGCTATTGAAGTATGAACCCTCTCTTGTCTATAGTTACTGTGTCGAGTTTATCCCATATATCAACGTCTAACACAAAGAATGAGGTGCAATATCGTCATACTTGTGCCACCTAACACTGTGTTTAGAAACTCATTCCTAAAAAAAAGACGTCCACACCATTAATATAGCTGTACAATTATGTTATCTACAGAAGGAGATATTTGAATTTATGATTTTTTAACGGAGGATATTGTGAAATATGGGTGTGTTTTTTTGAGAATTATGGGTTGAATAAACACAAAGGCATCAGCTTTTGTTGATGGAAGACGATTGGACAAAGATTCCAATTGGCGTAAAACAATTGGATAATAAATGCAAAAGGGAAGGGAAAGTTGAGAGAGAAAATCAAAAGAATCAATTCCCTTTTGTACGAGAAAGCGGGAGATTAAAGATTTAATTTTATTTTTTTTTTAAATTTTTAGTTCTTGTTTCTCACAGGGCGCCTCCATTTCCTGATCTCTCGTCCTGCTCATTTCCTCTGCGACTAGAAATCAGGTAATGTTATTCTCCCTCATTTTAGTTACCTTTGTGTTGTGTGTGGCCACCGATTTGGTTTCTTAAACGTGATTGTTGAGCTGTGTTCTGTTCATTATCCCCTCGAGATTCAAGTTACGCGAAATGGATTCATTTTTCATTTGGGTCTATGCTTTCAGTGGGAGTTTGCCTTGTACACATTGTTATGAATCGGATCATCCGTTTTTGACGAGTGATTGCTCTAACTAAAGCATTGACGAACTATTTGCTTATGAATCTTAAATGGGTTATTGCTTTTAGGCTGTTTAGGGTATTGGAATTACCGGAATACATCAATGCTTTCAAGTTGGAGTTGGCCTTGAAAACATTGTTAGGAATCGGCTCATCCGTTTTTGATAAGTGATCGCTCTAACTAAAGCATTAACGAGCTATTTGCTTATGAATCTTAAATGGGTTATTGCTTTTAAGCTGTTTAGGGTATTGGAATTACCGGCATACATCTATGCTTTCAGTGGGAGTAGCCTTGTAAACATTGTTATGAATCGGTGATTGCTCTAACTAAAACATCGACGAACTATTTGCTTCTGAATCTTAAATGTGTTATTGCCTTAAGGACGTTTAGGGTATTGGAATTACCGGATTACATCTACGCTTTCAGTGGGAGTTAGCCTTGTAAACATTTTTATGAATCGGCTCATCCGTTTTTGATAAGTGATTGCTCCAACTAAAGCATTAACGAGCTATTTGCTTCTGAATCTTAAATGGGTTATTGCTTTTAGTCTTTTTAGGGTATTGGAATTACCGGAATACATGTATTTTATATGTTAAAATACCTATTTCAATGGATGCATCGTTTCCCCTCGATTGGATACCGCATTCTGTACTGTGGGAGATTGTTTTGGTTGGGTTGAGTTACCATTTCTTTCCCATATAGCAGATTTTCCGGCGAGCTGATTGGTTTCTGCTACAAAATTTTGATCGTATTTTGAGGAAATGAGGTATATTGGTGCACATGGGGTTGCAACATTGCACAGATATAAGTACAGTGGTGTTGATCACTCTTACGTTGCCAAATATGTACTGCAACCCTTTTGGAGTCGCTTCGTCAATTTCTTTCCACTATGGATGCCGTAAGTAAAGCTTTGTTGCTTCTATCAGTAGGGATTTCTGCAAATTCAGTAAAAGATTTGCGTTTAAAAATGTCAATAGCTTCTAGTGCAACTGTTCAATCCTGATACGCATATTTTCTTTCTTGTAAGCTTTCTTTCTGACGAGGTACTGACCTATCATTTTTTTCTCTGTTCTCACTTCACGTCGGTTCCTGGTTGATTTCGTCAGTCCGAACATGGTAACTAATGTTTCGTTTTGAGTGCTATTACTGCATCTTTGCTGTGACTTCTGAGATAATATGTTCTTTCCTTTGTGGCATGGTCTCGTGGCAGATAACACTTATGGGATTTATGTTTTTGATCACATCAGCAGTTCTTGGTTATGTGAGTAACATACAATATTCATTTTTACTGCTCTTCATTAAGTTTTTTCTTAAAATGGCGTCATTTCTATATTATGATCATCCCAATCTTGTAATTCTTGGTCGTAACTTTTTATGATAAATATTCTAAGACTGCGTTTCATTAGTTTTTGTGCTTTTATGTTCATTCACTTACCCTTTTGTTATTTTCTACTTCCATTACTTTGGCATAGCATATCTAAAATTGATGCAAAATATGGGCAAATATCACACGAGAATGATATATTTATTGCTATATTAGCACATCATGGCTCTTTTCAGTTATTCATGATTTTTTATATATTTATTGTTGGTTTATTGATCCCTTAGGCTTTCTCATCTTTTTATTCAATTTTGTATTTTCATGTCAGATATATTCTCCTCATTTGGATTCCGCTCCCCCAAGGTGGGTTCATTTTGCGCATGGATTGCTTTTATTTCTTTATCAGGTATGCTCTAGTATTCTATATGGTGTTTTGTTGTTCTGCTGCTTGGATGGCATGTCCTTTGTTGAAAATTGAGCAACTCCTATAGATTTCATGGACAATATTAATGTTACAGT